TCTCCAACACTGAAGATCAGTTTTCCATCATTTTCTTTGGTTTGAAGCTGATATAAAACAAAGCATCCTGATGGTGTAGTTTGAGTTTCACTGCAGCTGATGTTAAGAAATGATAAAGATTCGAATCTAATACATAATACCCAAAAGATGAAATATGTTCAACTAGTTTCCTACTTTTAAATTCATAAAACTAATGTTTCACATCTTTTTAAGCAATGAGGGGCCATTCATCACTGACAAATGGCCTTGACCAGAAATTCCCTTTCCTTTATGAATTACATTTCCTAGATGACACAATACTATCTAATCTTACTAATTTCTTCAACTGATTGAATATTTTCATATTGAGAAATAGAAAATTGTTTTTAAAACCTCTATTAAAATATCTATTTTACTTAAAGAAAGTTTTTGTCATGGATATTCTTTCCCTTAAACATAACAGAGCTATTTTTCCATTTTAAACTAAATCTTTCTTTTCAAGAGTATGCATATTGTGGTGAATGTGATAGGATGCCATTAAATTATAGCTAATATAATGACCATATCCTTACATCTTAGCAAACAAAAAAGTGTGAGTAGGGTAGGTCACTTTGAGGAGCTGTAAAATAAATTCTGCCAGCAGTTTCTGACCCCTGAATAATGTCTCTTTTTGAAAATATATGTTGACTTTGTATCATTTGGTGTATCACCTACTCAAAAAATAGAATAAGAAATCCACAGCTTGTGCCTGTTGATGCCATTGCCTACATGACACAAATAAAAACCAGGGCAGACTCATTGTAGCTCAGACCAGACACAAGATTCATTCTTAGAGTGCAGCTTCTTCCAGTCAAATGCTTGTGACTTAAAAATAACCCTTCAGCCAGGTTGTCGCCAACAAATTAAAACCATGAGACTTTGTATATGTAAGCAGATTTTATTCTCTGGTTGTAACCTACAGCTATGGATGAGTGAAGCAGAAATGAAGTGTAGGTGAAGGGAGAAGTGAACAGTCTAACGGGCATCTTCCCTTTTGTGTTGCTGCAAGGTGATCTCCATGGGTCCTCACTCTTTCTCTCTGGCTGCTAGTGACCATATTCTGCTGAGGATGAATGCCATCAAATCACTGGGTGGAGTCCACATTAATCAAATGAGTGTAGTGTGCATTACCATGGATGACATACCTGCATGCACAGCACTCAAAATTGACTATCCTGATTTCAGTATTAATTTTGACTGGCAGAAGTGCGTGTGGAGCACATCAGGAAATTAGACAAATGATTGGACCTGAATATACCAGAGTATTTCTTCCCTAATGTAGCTTATGTATAATGAATGGCTATTACCATACCCCAAGAAAGAGTTTGGTTCACTCAAGGAACTGATTCCTTTAATGGCAGTGGTACAAGACAACAAGCAAAAAGTGCGCTCTGTGATGGATTTACATTGATGCATTTACAGCAGATGCAGACACCTGCTCACAGAAGTTAAGGGAGTGGCAATAGCGGAGTACCAATTATGCTACATTAGACCTACTTACTGGTGCACATACATAAGTCATAGTGGTCATTTCAGACAGTGAAAAGGTACTGCCTCACTCAACTAGCATTCAGACAATGTAGCACCACTCATCAGATCTATTATGGCTGCAATAATAATGCAAGATGAAACTATCAATGTGACATTTTCATATATAGATGACATGCGTATTAATGAAGATATATTGTCAGCAGCACTCATGAAGGCACATTTCACATGTTTTGGACTAATATGTAGGAATCCATAGCATTTAGAAATTTAGTTTGAGTGTTGAGTATGCAGGTCTGAAGGAACACAGTAAGCTCTGATGGAAGTTTGAAAGTGGCATTCCAAAAATCCAACATGTTATCTCATGATGGAATATCTTTGTGTGAATAAAGCTTGTGGGACACTTTCTTGTGTGTGGTTGGCTCTGCATAACTATGGCATTCATCAAACATAGAGTGAATATGATTACATCAGGATGGGATGATGTAACTGATGACCCCAATGGAAGATACCATTATGAGGATACACAAAAGTGACCCAAATCAGGAATGCCTGTGAGATTGATATCTGGATTGATTCAATCTCTTTAGCTGCTGGGGTCTCAATGGAGATCAATGAATCTGTTATTAAAGATGTGTTGGTTGTGTCCATCAAATGACACTCAGCACATCAACCTAACTGAGTTGGATGCAGTGCTAATGGGCATTAATTTTTCACTTTAATGGTGAACAACTGTAGTGAACTTGTTAACTGATTATGGGTTTCTGATGCTGCATACTAAAGCCAAGAGCAAGATGATCATATGATGATGGCTTAACACATTCATAGAGCTTGTTATAGAGTACAGACTGTAAGTGTCTGATTGTCTGCTCAATTTTGCTCAAACTTGGCCAAACTGACCCACAGCATTGGCTTGAGGCCATCAAGAAGCAAAGTCAAGAACTGAGGCATTTGTGTGCTGTCTCCATAGAATCATTACTTAGCCAGATAATAACCATCCACAACCCGACTGGTCATCCTATAGTGAAGCAGATAGGGTACTTTGTATGCCAGGTCAGCCCATCTGTGTCAAAAAGTGCTGTTAGGGCCATGATCAAAAAATGTGGAGTGTGGCAGACCCTTACTCTGTATGATGGTGATGTGATTAGATGTGAGCAACACCTGGAGTACAGTACTTATAGATGTCACCCATTGTAGGGACAAACATTTCCTCACTCTTATTGAGTGTGGCTCTACCTGATTTGCAGTCTAGTGACCACTGCTTCAACAAAATTCCTCAAGCATAATTTACCAAATGAGTATTTTTTTAAGCAAGGTCTGCCAGAAGAGATTCTCACAGACTTTCACACCACTTTCTGTAGTAGGCAAGTCTGGCAGTGAGGAGTTTTTCTTCAGCTGCGATGTCAAGATGTGCCATTAGGGATTGGCATAGAGAGCTGCCACCGGACTGGTGAAGCGGATTGCAGCTAGGAAGCAATGTACTGGTATAATGTGATGCCAAAGAATGATGATTCAAGTGTAAATGCACCAGCCAGTGCTATCTACATGTATCGATCCAAATAAAGGGTGTTGACACCACACCCACATCCATACATGAACCAAACAATCTTGTACATGCCATCTTGGTAAAACCTCCCAATAGTTGATGCACTTACCAATTTCAGAAAGTGGTGTAAACAGTAAGCACTCACTATTGTTCAATGGGACCCTGCCCCATATAAAAGATCTGTCTTGCTTTTGGATAGCCCATCAGACAACTGAAGATACTTGTATGATCTCTCCACTAAGAGGCACATGCCAAAAATAGGACAGGAGTAAGGCAGTCTTCTACGGAAGAGTCGAAGGCTGCCTCCCTACAACAAATTACATTGCAAAAAAGGCCAGCTCCCTGCTACCATCTTTGTGAACAAGAGATCATGGGTTAGTGTGCAGAAGAAATCCACTAGCTGAGGGTGTATACCTGCTGATGCCATTGGCTCCATAATACAAATAAAAACCGAGACACACTCATTCCATTGTTCATAACAGAAAACAGCTGATGGAATAGCTCTGATTTTCTACCTACAGGATTGATGGAATAACTTGGATGTACTGGCTACAGGTTAGTGTAGCTACCTTCAAATGTATAAAGTCAGTGGCAGGAGGTAGGAAGCCAACATGGAAGCCATAGATTTGCAGCTATTTGGACTTACGGCTCTGAAATTGTGATAGTTTGCTACATTTGTAGCACTAAACTAACTTACATAGATTGAATATAATTTGGTTCAAAGATCCAAGAAGGTTACTGAGTATGCATGCACCTGAAAACAAAGCCAACAAATAAGTATAATAACCAAGGTAAGTGTACTAGTCTAAATGGAAAGCCATGTAATAAGTACATGCAAATATAAAAAAAAGATGTGAGAAACCAGACCTTCATGGACTTCATGAACAAATGTCATACCTCAAGGTCAAGTGGAAAGTTCTGATATGGCAGATTATATCTAGAGAGAAAATGGATCATAGTAGTACACTGTGTGGAACAAAATACAACTAATACATTAGGTGCATTGCTGGAGATTGAGAAAATTGAATAGGCCTAATAGAAAAATGATTAAATCATGCCTATGAGGACTTTAAAAAGAAGGAATTTTATATATTGTATACATTGCAGCGATCTGATCAACATGTTTGCCAACATTGCAAGAAAAGAGATTCCTTTCTTTCTTTCTGTAAAGATTGTACACAGAGAAAACTATAGAATGAATCAACCCATATCTTCTGGTAACAATAAAATTGGCAAAAATTAATAGTCTGAACAACACTTGAAATATTGTTTTGATTGTTTATTTTCTAATTTTAATGCATTTTATCACATTGATTATGTGTGTATTACAAATTTTACTAATATATTATTGGATTTGTTGATTAAGATATTATTTCCAAAACACAAATTCAAGCCAAATTTTACTAACTAGTTAAAATGTTCAATTTTTTGTCAACTTTTCATATTTAATGTTTTGTGTTACAAATACTTTTATTGTAGAAGTGATAGAGAATTTTGCTGATTTTATAGAAAAAAGCTATTCATTATTACTGTCACTCCAAATGATTGAAAAGGTTTATTTTTTTTCACAAGTTTTCTAAAAAAATTATGACTTTCTCAGCAATTTTGAATTCATCTGTAATATCTTTGTTGCATCAGTACATAACAGCAAAGAAATTTACTTAAACTATTTGTATTTTTGGATTTACACATCAGAATCAACATTAAAGACATTTTTCTTTTGCTTTACAAACATTAAATGCCTGTTAATTTAGCTTTGAAAACATTAAATGCTTGTTAATTTAGAACTTTCAGTTTTATAAGTTTGGCCATTATCTCTGTAAATATGTTCTATGTTCTAAAATTAAAGAAACTACTTCTGTTGTCAAAAGAAGTGATATATATCAAAATTATTGACATTTTCTGCTTTTTGTGCCTTTTTTATAACTTTCACATAATTTATTTTTAGATGAGTCCTGTGTGTGTTCAAGATCCATATCTTCTGGAACATAATACTTCAGCCAATGTGACAGATAAAATTAAAACAGATTTCATCAAGGAACTTTCAGTGGCTCAAAATAAACTTTCTCAAATGCAAGTAGATGGTAATCCTTGGGGTTTAGTACATCTGATTACAGAAGATTTACCAAATGTGCAATCAAAACATTGCAGGCTTAAATTCAAACCTCAGCATCTACCTTACTCTTTGAACCTTCCTGTTAATGTTGGCTACTTGAATAGAGAATTGGATAAGTCTGTGAGAAAATTCCACAACACTCGTATTCTCTGGTGTAAAATTCTTTGCTCTTTCCTTCAGGTAGTTCTTAAAGAAGTGTTACTTATAGAATGTTGCATTGAGAAGGAACATCTTAGCTTAAAAGAGTTGCTAAAAGCAACTGAAACTCCAGTGCAAGATGGATCTGGGGATTGTAAAACAACTTTCTCTCTCTCATCTGATATGGCAGTTGAGGCTATGGAAAATGAGGAAGCTACAAGTGTTATTACTAATGAAAATAATGTTATTAGTAGTGACTCTTCAAAAAATCCTGCTCAGATTTTCCAAAAAAGGCAGTCTGATGAATATATTAGAGAAGTGAAACGTATATGTTTGAAAGATCAGGAAATATCAGAAGTCACTGGTATTGATTTTAATTGTGAAGAATATTCTGATATGGTTCCCCAAAATTTTGAAAACATTGAAGTTTCTAAGCCAATGGTTACTAACTGTCATCAGTGTGGCCCCAATAAAAATACTGTAAGTGATGATACAAATAGCAGGAAAGAAATTATTGAAGCAATAATGACATCTAAGTCTACTATTCTACAAGAAATAGCAAGTGCTCCATTTGAGGTTGAAAATATTTGTGAAGATGAAGACCAGCACCCTGATCCAAACAGTCTTTTACAGATGATATGTACAGTACGACATTATTCTTGGCGCAACCGGAAAAAAGTGCGCCAAAAACTTCTTCCACATTGGAATGGAAGTGATTTTGAGATGGAGAAGAAAATTAGTGAGTACATAGTATCAGCTAATGAAAGCATTATTTTGAAACCATCTTTGACAACATTCCGATTTACAGTGACACCAGAAATAAACACATCTGTCTGTGTTCATATAAATCCAATCAAGTCAGCCTGCAAAGAGGTATCAGTATTTTATCAATTTCTATCTTCTTTTATCACTCGAATGGTTTCTTCTCATTTTGTTAAATGGTGTATACACACTTCACCTCAAAAACTTGATTCTTCTGAGCTTTGTTTAAACAACAATGTGTCTACATACAAACCCAATGAGAACTCTGATGATGGCCTGGTATCATCAACAAATTAACTTTTTTTATTAAAAACTTGTGTGATGTTAAAATTTTATGAAAGGATTTCAAATTTGTCTTTGTTAATATTCTAAAATTCTTTTGTAAACAATCTTAATAAAATAAAAAAAATTGAAGGGAAAGTTATTAAAAATTCACAAAAAAGAATTAAAAGAAAACTCGTGTTTTATTTAATTTTCTCTGAGCACATGAATGTGAAAAGATATTTGTGTGTATTTGCAATTAATGCTTCAGTTTCTCTTGGAGATTAATTGATATGCATTTACTTTTGTTCTTTCATTGAAATGAATACTTATGTATTCATTTCTCTCAAATTGAATATTTCAAAATCATGGTAACATATTAAGCAAATACTCCACAAAATAGGTAAATGAATCTGTTAAAACATGATCTTTCTGTATCATTAAAGATTGAGCTAAGTGCACATCTGTTGGTTCAGATTTTATTTGATATATTGATGGAGAGGAAGTACTCATTAAAGTCTCTGGTCTAACACCCAACACCTTTTTTATTTGAATTGTCATTTCATTGGGTGTTATGTCTCTGGTGGTAGTCATTATTAGTTTTTAATTGTCTTCCCCCAGATTGGCACACTTGTAAGCCAATACAGTATCAGGCAACTTAATATCATGTTTACTGAGTGGCTGATCAAATTCTATAATGAAATCAGCAATGTTGATATTTTGTGGTCTAATATATTTTTCAAGATTTCCATACACCATCAGAGCCACTTGATCCACCTTGAACAGAGAGACCAGCTTTTCATACAATAATTTCATCCCTTCTTCTGTGTTGAATTTATCAGGGTCCATTGCCAGCACTGCTTCTCTGGCTTTACCACTTAGACTCAAAAATACAGTTGGAGTTCTTTTCATCATACCTATCATTGTTGCTATTTACCAGAACTTCATTTCTTTTTTTCCAGGCATGGTACTTTTCTGGGATAAGCACTGATGGACCTAAAAACTTAATATTTTTGTCTTTTTTTTTTTTTTTTTTTTTTTTTTACAGAACTATGCTCAGGATATTGCTCAAGAAACAGAGTGACAGCACTTCACCAAACAGAAAAATATTCACTGAGGAGAAATTTTAAGAAACTTAAATACTGCCTCATGGTTAAATCCACTTTGTCAGGAACGGAAATAAGCTACTGCCATTGATTAAAACACATCCATTAAATTGAGGAGTAGGAGTCTAATTTGTTAGCCAAGGATGGTGAGTTCAATCCTAGGGTGTCAAATCAGGACTGTAGGTTAGAAGCAACAAGTTTGTATAGCAATTTACTGTGATTGCTTACAAAAGCTCATCAAACCACTTCAAATGTAATCTTGAAAAGGCCTTGCTCTAAGTTTTGACAATGGTCTTTACATACAATGATATTTTGCTCCCTAGCTCACATTGGTGAACCCAAGTCTTATTTCCTGTGACAATCCATCAAGGTAGTTTCTATCCATATATCCTTCTTGAGCAACAACCACTGTCTGCTGCTTCATGTAGTCTGTTAGCATTCTGCAAAGGCTTTCACAGGGTGAAAGAAGACTTCAAAAGGACTAATCCATTGGTCTATCAAACAGAAATGCTTGAGATTGAAATAAAACTACCTCTTCCCTTTCTATGTGTCTGTCCATAGTATCACCATCTTGTCATTTATAAAATCTTTTATAAATTAAAAAAAAAAACAAAAAAAAAAAACAGGCTACAATCCCTGAAATGAAAATTAGCATCTTTGAACACTGGGATTTTGCAAAAAAATTTTTTTTTTCATTCTCCTAGACTTGCACACATTTAGTTAAGATAATTTCTTTTTCTTTTAATACTTCTCTGGAATTTACTGATCACCATTCTTCTATATTCTCAGCTCAAAAACTGCACTACTATTTTTTTCCATTAGCATTTTCACTGTCAGTATGATTTTGGACAATTCTTCTCCCTTCAGGTTCAAATCATATGCACTGTAAATCCTTTTTGTGACTCTGTGTCACTTTAATTATATATCAGAGCCCCACAATTCACTTCACCAATAATAAGCCACCTTATTACCGAAAATATACTTCACATCAAAATGACTATATATTCTTTAATTACCAATTCTGTTGCAATCCATTATCACCAATTTCTCACATCAGTTGAAACCAATATTTCCATGTTCCACAGGACAAATCTTCCAGTAATCTTTTATTACTATTCCCTTTCTCATTTCTCAAAAGCACCTAAACTCATTACAACTTTACAAACTGACATATTATATCCTCACCCTAATGTCAGCACATGGCCGCCTGGCACTCCCTCTTGACACACAATGAACACCTACCTAATTGGTGGCCCAGAACTCCTTCTCAGTTAACAATGAGCACTTACCAAACAGCAGCCCAGAACTTCCTTTACCATGGACTGCAGATGCCTACCAAATTGGTGGTCCAGAACTTCCTCTCAACAGTCAGACTTCACCTAGTAGTGAAGTATCTCCGCCTCATTTTCGCCATAGAACTCTTTATTGTGTAATATGCACATAACTTCATTGATGGTTTCTGCTATTATTTCTTATCTAGATCCCCACAAGGCTTAAAGATTCTGAACTGGCTCCTGTTCTCTCCAAAATTTACAATAAATTTCCCGTTAATTCTTGCTTTCCAACTTTTTGGAAGTCTTCCTCTGTAGTAGCTAACTTTAAGAACTCTGGGGAACCATCTGATTCCTTGAATTATCACTCTATTAATCTCTTAACTCTTTTTAGCAAAGTATTAGTGCCTCTAATCAATGGCAAATTGGTTAAGCATCATATAACATCCTTTTGGATAAGCAATATGATTTCCATTTCTGCTGATGTGTTAACAGTCATCACTGAATTTGTCTATCATGCTCCAGTGTCTCTGGATGCATATTTGACCTAATCCAATTGTTTCTAATAAATTGTGTAATGAAGGTCGTGTTGAATGAACATTCAAATTCATTTCATATTAATGCAGAGGTCCAACATCAATGACTTTCCTGATGTCATCAGTTCCCAACTAGGTATCTATGCAGATGACACAACTATTTACTCTTGTCTTCGTTGGATATGTTAGACTTGCTACTAAGGAGAATTGACAATTGCTCTTGGAAAGGATATCTTGGTACTTGGTTAACTGGGGCAAGAAATGGCTTGTAAATTTTAATGCTGCCAAAACAAAACTGCTTTCATTTTAATCAACAGAAAACCTTTTCTGCTTGCCATCAGCATTTTTATGACACAGTGAACCAACTTTCCTAGTTGCAGACTTAGCAATTAATTCAATATAATCTTTCCATTTAATCTCAGCAGAGAATGCTAGCTCAAGAAGGTGTAACTAGTCCTTATCCTGCAGGTCAGCATTATTCATGTAATGGAAAGCAAAAAAAAGGTCCTCTCAGACAATTAAAATAAAGCAGGTTAATTTTGGAGTTGTTAAAATTAAAAAGGTATATATTGCCCTAGTTAACAACAGATTGTAGGTCATTTTTGAGATCAGTAGCCAATTTGGCCTTATCAAATTAAATGTACTATTAAAACAGGAGTAAATACTTAGGTCATCAGCATAGATAGATCAGCTGAGAACTGATGACATCAGTAAGATCATTGATGAAAATTAGGAACAAGGATAGAGCCCTGGTGGACACCTGCATTAATGCAAAAAGATCTAGATAAGTAGCCGTTCAGGACAACTTTTATTGTAATTTGATAAAAAAAAAAAAAAAATGAATCAGTTGAAAATTCATTCAGAAATACCATAACTTTTCAACTTGTGAAGATCACTATACCAATCCCTGTCAAATGCTTTCAGGTGTCCAAGGCCTGAACTTCAACATCGTTTTATAAAGCTTGATAGACTCTTTCAGCAATAATCATTAATACATCAGCAGTTGACCTAGAGAAGTGAAGACCATATTGCTCATCTGAAAGAAGACCTTGCAATGTTAGATGCTTAATCAATTCAATGTTGATTAAGCCTATAGTACTTTGCCAAAAAGAGTTGAAGCATTGAAACATTTTGCTCCTACCCAGACGTCCACTCAATTTTTTTTTCTGATTGTCCCATTAAGCATAATTGTATAAGCTCCAAGACTTCTCTCTTTGAAAATAAAATATTTTACATCCATTTTTTCTATTTTTAGTCTTGCAAATTTGCACATTCAAGTACATGTGTGTGCATGTAACTACATCTTGTATGTGTCTTTCCTTCTTTTTCCTCTTTCATCCATTTGAAATGTTCTTAGTCATACTTTCTGACTACTCTTTCATTTTTGTTTTTCTTTATGTGCTGCAAATGCGTGTGTATGTTCTTTCCTCTCCTTCACTGCCTCTCATATGGCATATGTTCCATTCTTTCTTTTTCTTTTTTCTTCATCTTTTATTTTGGGGGGTAGTCTCTTTGCTACCTGTTTTCTCTTTCCTTTTTGTGGTCTTTGTTGCATTTGCATGCATTCCAGATCCTTAGTTAATTTGCCAAACCTATTCTTTCAAGGTTTTTACTGTTGCATTCACTTTTTTTTTTCTTTTTCTTTTTTTGTTTTTTTACAAATTATCTTGTTTTCTCTGGAATTCTCATCCATTTCCTGGGATGAAAATTGTCCTTGGTCACAGTGCCTGTTGTAATCATGCAACATGGCACTTTCCCAAGCTGTTCCATCAACCAGCCAGTAACTACCCCACATTGCATTTTAATTCTCAAACTTATTGGTGTTGAAAGCTGGGAAATAGTGCATCACATGCTTACAAGATAATATGAAGGAAATGTCATGCCGAGAAATAATAAACCTTGTTTTTCCATATATATAGGTGTTTTATTCAGTTGGGTAGATAGGTAAGTGATACTGTGACAACTTTTGTTATGTCAGCTCTTACCCCTACTAATTCCTCACTCATCTATTCGTCCCTCTGTGGTAGCTTAGCAATACAAAATGGAAGCTTCATAGCTGTAACACATATAATCCAACTGCCACCAGGGACAGACCAACATTCTTCCAAATCCCAAGTATGACAGTTAATATAGACCAGCACCTGAATATAACCTATTTCTGGTTTTGTTGCTGCTTGATCTGCACAAATTCCTCATCCACCCCTTTACTTCTCATTAATCTTTGGTTAAAGCAAATGTTGCTATAGAATACTGAACTTTGAAAGGACTCATCTGCTGGTCTATCAAACAGAAACATTTGAGATTTAGATAAAACTACTGCTTCCCCTTCTATGGGAAGTGTCTATAGTGCCACAACGTCACTAAATATATTTATAAAATTAGCTTGTCACCAATGAATGAAAAGTGGATCTCTTAATTAAAAAGTATTAAAAAAAATTCATGTAATGTATTTCAATTTTTTTATATTCACATTTGAAAATTATATAATTTTTAAACATTAGTAATTGCATATAAACTTAGAAAATTACTGGAAATATTAAGTTAAATGTTGAAAAAAAAAAATCATTTACATATAAATATTTTTAAAGCCTTGATTTTCTAATAACCTCTTAAAAAACAACTTTTTTAACACAAAGAAATTGTCTTCAGTAGTCTTGCTCAGGGATCTTCCCTCCTACAAAAAAAACAAAAAACAAAACAAATGTAATAAACAGATTTCATTAATATTTCTCATCTTCCCCATCTATTCAAATACATGTTCATGTAAAAAATGAATAAATAAAATTTAAAAAGACCTTTTTATGTAGCACTATTTTATAATCAAGTAATTTTACACATTTCCTAAGTTTTGACAGAAAAAACTATAAAATGTAAGGAAACCTTTTAAGATTTTTCAAAATCTTGACAAGTTCACATGTTTTAAATTCCTATTAAACTTTTTAAGATTAAATATTTTCATTCAGTTTTCAACTTTGTCTTTTTTATCATGGTATTTCTATCTGTTCTTTAGCAACTTTGAATGAGGCTCCAATCTTGATATAACCTCAGAATCTAACAAGGTAATCAATAATATTACGTGAAATAGAAGAAAAAGGTAAAGTAGAAAGATTTGAAAAAAACTTTTCAAAATTGTAAAAGCAAGGAACCTACATCTTTTAACTTGCAGAAATTGATTTAAAAAAATTGTTTTGTCATAATACAATTATTAAGTTGACACATAACTTTTCAGCAAAATTTTACATTCTTTAGTCTTAGAAATTCATAAAGCTTTAAAAATCCGTCAAATATATCTTGTGCCTTACTCTATATTTAGGGTAAATTGATTAAATGAACTATTCTTTTGAACTGTTGATAAAGCTCAAAAGTAGTAATAATCTGAAGTGAAGAATGCACTGTGGAAGAATTTCTTATCCTTGTAGATCATTTGAAATGGACAGATTGTTGGGCAACAAAATAACAGCTTGATTTCCTTCTCCAAAAAATGAAGAAAAGTTTTTTTTTTTTTTTTTTCTTTCAAAATGTGTCATTTAAATGAGTCAATTGTTGTGCAACAAAAGTTTGTCCAGGTTACATCAACGGAAACTTACCAAAGAAATTCTGGTTTGGCTGAGATGTTAAAAGTTGTTCTGCATCTTGACATAATATTGTTGTTTTGGGGGATTTTTATTTGATATAAATCTGTTCTTTATTGCTAGTGAATACTTTGCTTAGAAATGTCTTTTTTTCTGTATTGAGCAAAGAGAGAGATATGTTTAAATGCTAATTAATGTCATTTAAGGAGGAACTAATTTTTTTAGCTCAATTTTGCTTCTGTACAATTTTTTACACTGAATAACTTCAAGGATATTGATTTCCCTAATAGTGTACAACATATAGCTTTTGGAAGTTTTTCATCAACTTCATAGTAATAAAATGTGTGTATTTATAAACTTCATTAGATGGGATGCAACTTGAGAAAACCATTTTATTATCTATCCAATCTGAACAATTATTTATTGAATTTTTGTTCTGGTAAATCATTTTATTAGCATAAATTTGTCAATTTTAAGATTGATAACATTTGATAATACTTGGTTGTCAAAGCTCTACTGTGTCAGTTATAAATAATGTCATCTTCCAATCATATCCATCCATACATATTGGCACATGAAATTAGTTAGTCTTTTATTCTTTCTGATTGACTTACTGTATCAAACAATTAGCAAATATACTAATATTCTTCATTTTATTTGAACACAGTTTACTTTCTTTATTTTATATATTTTCTTAGGGGAGAATATGATATATAGTGTTTATATATCAGAGTAATGACAAAATGGAAAAATCCTATGTTACGCATTCTTCAGGACTTATTCAGACCAAATGTTTTTTATTAATATTCCCTCAACATGTGTTGGGGGAGCAAATAAAATACAACAAAAGTTGGTTATAATTATACATTAAGAAATGCTGAAGATTCAGAGACAATTTTAAATTTTTAGTGTCTGATGTCTCTAGATGCACAACCTAGCCAACTGCATTCAAGTTCCTACTACTGCTGTTGTTTTTAAATATCTCGTGTTGTAACAACAGGTAATTTTGTTAAGAAAGGTGATATGCTGTATTATCCTAGATATAAGGTTACCAATGATAACTCAGAAATTAGTGCCCTATACATTTTGGCTTTAATAAATTACTTTCTCTTTTAAGCTAAATGGATGCTGAATAAGGTGAGCTCGATGCTAGACATTTAAAATTTAGATTTAAGCATCCCTACATTTCTCTCAATGTAGAATTATAACTGACTTGTTTCATTCCATCCCACTACATATATGTGATCCCATCAATAAAAACATTTTAGTCTGAACAAATCATTTCAAAGGAAAAAATGCATAAATTTCCTTCCATTTTGTCATTCAATTACCCATAAAAGTATGGTTAACAAGCCTGACTGAATTTTTAGTAAAAATATAAATCAATTCTTGCATTAAATCTGAGGAGTACATTTCTCTCTTTCTTCTGTCCAAATTTATATTAAGTTATATCTTTTTAAACATTTCCTAAAAACAAGTTTGTAGAGATGTTCAATGCCTCCTTAGACAAAGAGCAATTTTATTTACTATTGCTGGGAAGGTTGATTAAAGGTGATATTCTAATTTTGTTTCTTTTTTTTTTTTCCAATTTGTCAAAAAAATGTGAAATAGTCTCAACCAATTTTTGAAAAAAAAAAAATTAGCACAGAAACATACACATTAAAATTGCTAACATAATTATTCATAATTCTTTCTCTATTTTATAAAAAGCATACCTTTTCTCCTTATTTACTTTAGTGGATAGGCTTGATTGATTTATTTAATGACATATCAACTCCTTATGGGTCATTTAATACCAAAATTGAATTTTCTTGGGAGCTTTGGAATAGTAAAAATATGTTATTCTGCTTTCACAATTGAATACATGTTAAATCATACTCAGCTTTACCAGTTTTACCTGTTTGTGTGGACATAATTACTAGAGGTGATGATATGTGTGTTTTATATTGTAGTTTTGTTGAAGTTTGTTTAGTGGCATATCAACCTCTATAAGTTAATATCAAAATCTAAATATTTTGAACAATTTTATGGCTTCAACTAAATATATTTTGAATGCAATTGTATGCCTTCACCTACAAATTTTTAAAATGTATAGTTGGTCATTTTGTTATAAAATGTATTGTTGGTAATTTTTTATATAAAAATATATTGCTGCTACTTTTACTACAAAAATGTATTTTTATAGTGTTTTCTTTTCATTTGGAGGTTACACAAAATCCCCAATCTCTCAGTCAGAGGCCTTGTTGCTGGATGTAGTTTATTGTCATACTCAGGACTAGAGGATTCAATTAATGAAAGCTTTTAAAGTTTGTACCATTCATCATTTTTTTTTACCTTTTGTTTCCATTCACCAGAGCTAATATTATCTTCTTATAGTCACCAGATATGTCATCCTAAACATAAAAGTAAATTAAAATTGATAAAATAAATCAATTTAAAAAATATTTACAGTTGAAAAATAAACAGATATACAATTTTTCTTTACCAAAGTCTTCAAAATGACCAACTTTTAAAGATCTTCCTAATATCATCAACAGTAAAATTTTAACCGATTCAGCTATTTATACATAGTTTAACATTTGTAAGACAAAACTTTGTAGAACTAATGATTGGGTTGTGTTTTTAATCATCTATATTTAACAATCATACAATATAAAGCTGTGACACTATTTGATACTGATAAACTATCATGAATAAGGTTTTTGGATAGCAAGAATGGTATACTGATAAACCATGTTCTCAGAAAGCCAAAATTTCTAAAAGAACCAGGTGGCCAGTTAAAAATAACACTTAATTTTTACGACAGGAACATATAGCGATATTTTGACAAATTATTAATGACAACCACCATGGGTGCTGGACATGGAATCAGAAGTGGAGAGAATCAGATAAAATTTTAAAACAATTCAGAGATAAAAGTTTTCTTAGAGAATGTCTCTGGCATGGAATGAGGGAAGTGAGGCCATGTGGCCTGTCTGATTTTGGATAAGAAAGAAATATAAAGCTGATCTGGAAAATTTTCTGCAGAGGTGACAGGTTTGAATAAGAATTCCTTGATATGATTTTTTTTGTCGATGGGGACACATGGTAGCATTTTGACATTTTGATGAATGATTATCACCATGATGCTAGCCGTGAAACCAGAGGTGGAAAAGAATTGGATAAGATTTAGAAAAATATAATATGGAGATAAAGATTTTTCTTTTTAGAATGTCTCTGGTCAGGGAGAAGGCCATCTGCTTTTTGTTCAACTTTAAGACCAGGGAAAACCAACACTGCTTATGAGGTAATAAGCTTGGAATGATAATTTCTTTTAACTAATGAATTTGGAATTAATCTTCACTGGTTGGAGGATGGCTGAAGTAGCAGGTGCAGATGAGACACCAAGAAGGGTTGGGGAGCTGCGCACACCCACTGAGGAGTATTAGTGGGAGATGCTAAGAAGAAGAGGAAGAGGCTGTGGGGTGGAATAATGCCTACAAGCCTACATTCATTATTGAGTACATCAATAATTGCGTTTTGGTACATTGACAGAAGTGACACTTTAATTAGATAGGTTCTGTTAACTTTGCACACAAAAGGTGAGTTTATTCAGCACGTTATAAATGCTCAAATCAATTTAAATTGCTCTACCTAATTATTAACATGAAATTACTATCTTAATAGTCTGATTGGTTCAAAAATTGGTAGCTGATCTCAAAAATGATTTACAATCTGTTGTTAACTGAAGTAAGTGGCTTGTTAATTTTAATGACTCCAAAATGAAACTGCTCTCTTTAAATCATCTGAGAGAATCTTTTTACTTTCCATCAGCATGGTTGATGCTAACCTCTAAGAGAGTGACTTATTGTCTCTTCTCAGGCTAATATTTTCTGCTAACTTGAAGTGGAAAGATTATATTGAAACAAGTGCTAAGTCTGCAGCTAGGAAAATTGGTTCACTGTGACATGCTAGACTATTCTTCTTGCTAGAATTTATCTTACATATTTAGAAGTGTTGTTTTGAATATCTGGTCTGGTGCTCCTGCTATATATTTAGAGATTCTTAATAAAATCCAAAGAAGAATCTGTAATATTATTGGTCCTGACTTGGCATCTCAGCTTCATCACTTTCCCATCACAGTAACATAGCTTCCCTATGGTTGTTTTATAAATACTTTCATGATAATTTTTCTGATTAACTTTCCTCTATGGTACCTAGACTTTACGAATTTCAGCACAGCACTAGATTGACAGCAAGGTTTCATCATTTTACAGTTGAAATTGCAAAATTTAATTGTAAATTCAATGCCTAGTAGTTTCTTCTGTCACACTTCTTTCTGGCTTCTTGCTTTGCAGTCAAATTTGATCTTCAAAACTTTAAATACAATGTTAACTGTTATCTTCTATCTTCTTAATAATAGTGATCTTTTAACTCATATTCTCTTAACACTCACTAACCTCTTGCATCTTAGTGGCTTTATTGCCTTGCTTGGGGGTGAAATGATTGAGAAAAAAAAGTGATTCCTGTGGGCTATAGTGGCAGAACAGGCTGGTGTGAACCAAGGAGATGGTTGGAATGTTCAACAAGAGCTAGGACAGGAGGTAAGGAACAAATTGAGTAAAGAAGCATATTTTTCTTATTTATTAAGAAAGCAAGTAGGGAAATCCACTATTTGACTGAGAAATGGAAAAACTGAAAGTCTAAATATTGGCAACATCAGTAACATTAGAATGATTAAACCACTTGTGCAGTAAAATCAACAAACACAAAAATGTTTGCAGATGAACTGTAAAGTGGTAAAAAGTAATTGTTAGTGATTAATGCAAAAGAAAAAGTAAGAAGATCAGTGGGAGAAACAAAAAAACAATACAAGATACATCAAAGACTAAAATTTCATGGTGGACACATAACGGTGTGGTGATGCATCAAAAGTGATGATAGAAGAAAACTTGGTGAAAGTTAATGGAAAGCTAAACAGTAAAAACTACATTAATTTACTACAATCTAATCTAATCTACCAAACTATGGAGAATTTTTTCTGCATGACAGTGCTCCTTGCCACACATCACATACAACAATAAGTTTGCTTGTGAATGAAGATTTTCAACTTTTGGAAGATTGACCACCACAAAGTCCTGATCTCAATATAATTGAACCATTGTGGTAGGAACAAGTGCTCCAACAAAAACCACACAATCTCCAAGAGCTTTGAAATTTTTTTTCAGCATCACTATGCTCAACATTAATGAAAATGCAATAATTTGTTTACTGGCCTTCAAAGATCATAAAATGTACTGAGAAAAACATAGTGTGAATCACTCTTGATTTTGGGGTAAAATTCACAAAAGTAATTAATTTACATGGGTGGCCCAAAAGATTTGCACACCAGTATATAACCTCGAACTTTCTTTCAAGGTAAATTACTATTTTTCCTAAACCTATTTTTAATTATTTAAAAATGTGTATCCCCTCAATATCAATTTAATTCATTATTACATTATCTTTCAACTGATACTTTGTATTTCACATTTAGTACCAGAAAAGAAAAATATTTTTTTACATTGTATTACAATATAAACTTATATTTTAAAATATCAATTAAAAATATTTTTAATAGATTTTATATTTTTTTAAAAATAAGAAAAAGTTTTAAAAAATTGCTTACATTGATAAAATCTTGGAGTGTTTGCTTATATAATTTTTTGAATTCTTCCTTAATTTTTTCCATGTCCATCTCAGAGCGGGAGATAACAATCCGAATCAGAGTATTGTCATCTGTCCCAAAACCTTTCAGTGCCTTGTAAAGAATGGTAGCAAAATAAACTGCTGTGTTACGGGAACATTCCACTAAAATGAAATAGTTACAGTAAAGATGTATGTAATTTGTACAATCATTGAAACAAAGAATGAGAAATTAACAATTATTTCATTCTTTATTCATTTGAAATAAAAATTTGATGTGATTTTTTTTATCAAATCGTCATTTCTAACAAAGCAAAGAGACACTCATAACGACTCTCCCATTCTTGACTGTAATTTTATAAAAGCAATTAAAAAAGGAAGAAATACTTTCAATTTTATTTTGATTATTTAGTTAATTTACACCCATTTTTCTTTTCTATTATGGAAATAGAAAACAATCTGTAAATAGACATGATCCTGAAAGGTGGATATTTTTTATTTAATAATGAGGCATATAAAATGCAGAAATATGATGTCCTTACATAATTTGTTTTCCTTTATAAGAAAACCCACTTAGTTCCAAAAGAAAATAAATGGGCTGAATATGAATATGAAGTCATTTTTTGAAACTATCTGAAGTAGCAGTAAAAGTTTGGGATCAAATCCAACTGTAGTTAACGTAAGCAAATATTTATCTATATCAGATATTTTGTACAGAAATTTTTATACTAAGAAATAACTTAATGGCACTATCTAGACCAACTATGATACATATATGATTAGAGACTTTATGCATGGAAAATCTTGCTCATAAACATATCCATCACATTTGCTAAGATATTCACTCAATAGTATTAATTGATTAATATTTCTCATGCTGTATATAATTTGGAATGGTAGAAAGAAGAGAAATGGCTCCTAGTTTATTATTGCACAGAACCACTTGATGTTGCACATCATAGCAAATGCCAACCTTTTATTAAAAATTGTGACAATACATGCAATCAACCAAGGGATAATTTAAGAAATGCAATTTGCATATAATATTGGCATAAACATATTCATACCAAAATGTAAAATAGGTTTAAAGACATGAAATTAAAGCTGGTAAAAATAAAAGAAAGAAAGAATTGATATGTATTTTTAAACTTAGATTGGGACAACAATGAAAATTACTTTGGAGTAAGATATGCAGAAATTTTAAATGAACAGGGATTTTTGAAATTATGTCTGCAAAATGATGCTCATATAACAATTACAATAACTATTTCATATCTATTTAAATAGTTATACAAGAACTACTAAAGAAAAAAGATTATTATTATTTACCTATGGCCAGAAGACTGTCCTTTGTATTTCCAGACATTTCAGCTTTTATTACATCTTCAATATCTTTTTTATATATTGTCTTGTATTCTTTAAAAATTGTCAACAACTGAGCAAAGCTGTTGGTACAAAATATATCAATGAAAACAGCTTCATCTGTACCAAGTTTAGACTCTCCAGCCTCATATAATCGTTGAACATCTTTCTTAGCCAAGACACAATCTATTGCTTTGTCTTCTTGTCGAAGACATTGAAGAAGGCTGATCAAAATTCTTTTGTAACCACCAGATGTGTCATCTGAGACATCGGCTTCCAAGCTGTTCTTGAATACTTTATAATAAAAGAAAGTACAGCAATAAGACAAAAAGAATATTATTCAAGGATTAATACATAAGCTTTCATTTTGAAATTAAACTAATAACTGTGCCTAAGAATTTTTTATTTTATTAAAAGAATAACATTGCATTGATAATATTTTAAATATATTTGCTTATTATGTAGGGGCCTCCACTAAATTTTCAATAAAAGGTTTAAAATGAATTTTTAAAAATGAAAAAGCATTCTTGAATCTTTCTTTTTAGCTTTAATAGAAAGCTAAATGATTAAATTTACTATTTCCAGTAAGCAAAATACTCTGGTGTATTTTAAATAGAAATTATATTGATTGGAATCTCAACTTTTTGGTCACCTTACATTTTTATCAAAATAACTTGAACAAAAACAAATAAACTTAAAAAAGTAAAAAGTAAAAAACTACTAACAAAAAGCAAACATTTTTTATGAAATAGGAATTAAAGTAAAAATAATTTGAAAGGAAATTTCAAAATGGCACGCAAATTAAAAAATAAGAACTTCAAATAGAAATTGAATAAGAAAAATTTAATTTAAGTTAAAGTAAAAATTATTTTTTAGTAGAATTATATTGGGTTTCATTTCCAATTTCTTTCTTAAGTGAAACAAAAAAAAATTAATTAATTGAAGTATGACCACACTAAAATAAATACATAAAATAAAAATATCTAGTGCAATAGAAATTAAAAAAGTAAAAATTACTTTAAATTTTAAAGTTTAAGATTTTGAAGGGATTATTTGTAAAGCCTGTTGAGACGAAAACATGATAAAACACAGAAATGAAAATTAAAGAATTGTAGACACCAAATTTTTCAGGGATGTCAACTCTTAAAACATGTGATGGACTCCCATACTTATGAAAATGGTAATGTCTCTACACTAAAGAAAAAATTAAAAATTATTTTAAAAATCTTTGTGCAAAATGACTTTTATTAAGCTTTTCAATTTTTGATTTGTAAATATAGTTTTCTCTTCATAACAATATCACCTTACCAGATTAAAGGAATGCTGAATTTTAAATGATTTAATAATTTATAATTAAATTAAAAAAAAAATTAAAACAATTTTTGAAAAAATTCATTATTCATCAGTGTCCTTAGTAAATCTTATTTATAAAAGCAATTAAAAGCTTTTCTAATTAAATATAGTTTTACTGCATTTTTTATTTAACAATTTGGAGCAGATTTTTGGGTCATGTGTAATAGTTTGAAAAGAAAGTGATTGATTTACATTCTCCAAGAAGTTCTGATTTTAACTAATAAAAAAAAATTTGAGATTGAAAATTTTTTAAATATTTTTTATTCATTTGTGAATAAATCCTGAAAGTTTCATTATAAAATCTGATAATTATTTGATTTTTTTCAAGAATTTTGAATGTGCTAGAAATGATTAAAAAAATTAATAAAATAGTAAGAAAATACTTTGGTCTTTCCTCTTAATAATAACAACAAAAATCTTTTGATGATAAAACTTTGTTTTTATTAATTTGGGAGCTTTTTTCATCATGCTATGCTGTTTTTTCAGTGACAAAGTGGAGGTGCCTATGATTATGTAATGTAATTTGCTGACATTTTCTAACATAGGAATAATATCAATGAGTGATGAAGAGAAAATCCAAATTCTACTATAAAAGCTTTGACTGCCAAAGTAAAATTCAGAATTATTCCTAGTTTACCACATATAAAGCAGAAGGGACATTATTAGCTTGTGGCTTTGCATTTCTAGTGTTATTACAGTAGTTTCACTGTTATTCTTTTCAATCATCATTTCAATTTCTTTGAAGCTTTGTAATGCTACTTTAAATTCACTAAATGTTACTATTTTGTCTTTCTGAGTAATAACGGTTGTGAAATGTTTAAATTGAGAGAAGGCTTTTTAGGACCATGGCTATTAGTAATCTGTTGCTAATCACTTCTGATGATTTTAATAAAGTTGCAGCATTTTCAGTCATTACTGGCATCCATCTGCTTTAATTTTTTCTTATCAAAAAACAAAACCATCATCTATTTTTCTGTGTCTCATATTTGGCACATCTCAGCAAAGTTTAACCAAGCTATTTTGTGGTGTGGAAGGAGACATTTATGATTTTTAAAGACTTTCTCTCAGAGATACCATCTGATTGTTCTTGAGCTGCATTCTGCATCCATAAGGGCCTTAATCTAATTCGATAATTGGCTGGTGTTTTGCCATCGAATTCATCGAATCCTCCTTTTTAACACTGACAAAATTTTCTTGGGCTGACCACTTGAAATTTTTGTTCCATATTTCTCAAGATCTTTTAAGAAATTTGCAACAAGTTTTACTGTATTCAATCTCACTTGTGATGGCACATTAAGAGAGACCTTGTTTTTGCAGCTCAACTATTCTTCGATATTCAAACTGTCAACTTTTTAGTCTTTGCCATAATTTTACCTAATGTAACAGTGGAAGATATCGACTGGGCTAATGCTTGGACACAAATGACTAAATTTCATTACATGTTTACCAGTTAAAACTTTATTTGAATATAGTCTTAAACTTTTGACCAGGTAGTATTTAGCCTAATTTCCCAATATTCAAATTTTCCCTATTAGATGTTAAAAAACTTTTTAATTTTAAATTTCCCTTTTCTTATTTTCCTTTTTCAAAGCTATACTCAAATAAGTGGTTGAGTCTTAAGATTTTGGCCCGCAGTGTATATGCAAAATAAAAGTAGGCAAAGCAACAGTAATGAGTCAAAAGAGTTCTCAAACTAAGAATGGTGTTAACAAACAAACAAGAACAAGAATGTGGCAGATCAGATCAAGAAGTGGTCTATCTTATTGGATAGGAAGAAATTTTTGGAGGAGGATGTTTTCGCTGTTGTTTCCACTAGACATATTTTTTTGTTTTTCTGATATTTTGTGACTTGCATATTCAGACACAGGTCAGTTTTTGACCATTTTTGTCATTATTTCTTTTTACAAGCCAAAAAATATTTTGAGTGTAATTTTTTGAACAGAATTGCCACTGGGCAGCATGGCCAAAAAGTCAGTCAAAAAGGACATTTTGGGGTCCACCTCCAAGAATAGGCTAAAGAGGCTTAAAAAAAAAAATAGTTCCAAGGAGCCCAGTTACCTCATAAGGTACTCATCATGCTTCAGTACCCTACCAAAATGCATTGCCACACAAAGAGGTAAATAAAAATGATCAGTCACCTCTCAAAGATACTTGTCAAATGACCAATACAAAGACCAAAGATGCAGTGGTTGAGTAATTGCCCTGTGATTGGAAGTCCCTGCTGACATGCATTATGAATTTGGCAGAATTCTTCAAGCAGGTTGATAGGTATCTGCATCTTATTAAAGATGTTCACTTGTGTCTGTTTTTTTTTTTTGTGGACAAGCACACATGCAAGATTGTCATTCTACAAAAGAAACTGTCAGTAATGCCCAAGCATCCCTGGGTATTTTACCACAGCAAATTATCAAATGCTACAGGATGTTTATGAGGGATGTGTTGTTGCTAACATTGGAGGAGTGCATGGCCATCATAAACCAAGAATTGATCATGAAAAATTTGATTTGAACTTCATAAACTGCCACCCTGGTGGCAGTGTATGAAGTTCCTCTACATATGAAGGGGGAGGTGCTGGCTGTTTACTTTAAACAGTATGACAAAATTATCAGTGTCTTCTCTGACCACAAGTATGGGGAATGGAGCTGCAACATCATGTTGTCGTATGAGGCTTTTGTCTCTCTTCCTAATTGTATGGACATTAGCTGGCAAATGTTACTCATCTTTGTGACCTACTTGCTGGAAGTGTGGTTAGATTGGTCCCTGAATCCACTTTGAGACTTTACCAATTGGTCTGATCTGGTTGATAAGTTTTGGACTGAATAGCTCTGTGAATCAGTGTGGACTTGGACAAATAGCTGCAGCCTGTATACTGTAGTACTGCATGCAGTCTATATCAACTGGGTGTTAATTAAGAGTCAATATAAAACTCTTAGGGTGTCCAAGTTTCCATTCTACATTTTACTCAGATCATATGATCATCTAAGTGCAGGTAAACTTAGATAAGTCTAAGCTTAGACAGACTGGAAATTTAAAATGTCTTTGTTTGAAGTGGAGCATTTTCATGACCACTTTTTACTAATTCTAATGCAAGAATTGATGGGGAGTGTGGATGGAAATAAGTTGTGGGGGCAACTTAAATCTGTGATTAGGTCATTTACTGCTGATTATAGTAGTTGGCTTAATCTAGAGAAATTAGCAACACAAACAGCAACCAAATCTATATTAGAGTGTGCCATTAAATGGGGAGATAGTGGGGACAGCCATAGCTGGGGCCTAGTTGGCCACTTTGCTTATCAAGAAGAACCAAGTTCTGGTAGTTAGGGCTTGTTTAAAAAGAATCTCTTCTGAGGCAATGAACATGGCTGCTGAACTGTGGCAAAAGGAACTGCATAGCATTTCTGTCACATCCCAAGCATCACACTGCTGGGCAGACAATGAAGTCATCTGTGATGCTTTTCAGTCTTATTTTCAGGAACTTTTAACTGTAGGCATACATAAATATTTATGTTAGGAATTTTCATTGAGCAAATGATGCATTTTGCTGACTGTGGTGCAACGAGTAAGAGTAAATATGATGTTTTGGTGAATAGAAAATTATATGTATGGATGGGTCAGAGGTTAAGTTAAGACTAAAGAACATTCTTCTCGGTCCCCCATTTGGCCTTGTGCCACATTTGTACATAATGTACAATAAATATACATTCCCTCCACAAGTGGAATGGACATAAAACTGAAGCTAGTCAGATTGTATTATCTTATATCCACCAAGTTGAAATAAAAAGAAGCCCAGCATATATAACTACAGAAGAATTTCAGCATCATGAGAATAACCCTAGCTTTACAGAAAAATCATATGCATATGCAGACAGACTTCATTCTATTCTCTAAAATGAAAAAGGATTTACACATTGCTGTTGTCCATTATATGAGGAAATAATTGCCAAGTTTCAATTATTACTCCAGAAATTGTTTTATCCTTTGAAAACCAATTGGAGGGTTATTCATCATGTTCAGTGACAACAGAACCAAACCCAGTACATGTCTGTTCCATCCTCTTTATAATGAAAAAAAAAATGAAGACATAAAAAGTGGAGAAAAATGTTATACAACTAAAATAGTGAAAATGCCAACTTTGAGTATATCTTGCAAAAACCAGAGATCATACATACTCATTTACCCACATATCCTAATAAGATTTTCTAATGGAATTTTAAAACTATAAAGCATTAATAATTAAAAAAAGCAACTCAATGTAAGGTATATTTACACTATTCATAATTTTTTGTCAGAAAAGTATGAGACTAGAATAAATGTAAAACAATGGTTTATCTTTATTATTATCACTATTGCTTGTTTATTGATAGTGAATGAAAAAATAGACAAGTTTTTTTTAAATATTTATATTCTTTGAGTGGCTACTTAATATTCTTTACATGGTTACAAGAATTGTAACTACTTACATCTTTCATAAATTATCTTTATTTCTTTGAGTTGCTCATTATTTCTTGAGCAGATTATTTCCGTTAAGACTTTCTCATCTGTTCCAATGCCCTGTTGATAAAGAAAAATACAATTAGAATAAAAAAAACTTTTCTATTTTCTAATATAGTCAGATAAATTAATAAAATAGAAAGGAATTCAATTACATATAACAAAAAGAAATATTTTACAATATATTACTGTAATATATATAATTAAATTCATATAGCTAATTTACAATTATGATGAATTTCAAATTCTATTCATAAAACATCAAAGTATACAATAAAAAATGTGTTCATCAAATTTATTATTTTTCCTTATCTTGTAGAATAGGTACCAAATTATTTATATAATAGTATTGTGACTTGAATAAGAAAAAAAAAGAGAAAAAACTTATCAGTATAAATTTATATTGTAGCAGTAGCAGCCATATGTAAATAAACCCTGTATCACCTCACGTGAACCTAAAATAACTCTCTCTTTCATTCCCTCTTCAAAATACTGACATAAACTATCCATGCCGAAGCAAAAGGGGCTGTGAATTACTCCACATTAAGTCCCACTATAACATATTCAAAAACATCTCATTGTGTATGAAATTAACTTCTAACAAACTCTTGTTTTAAACTTTACTATTATTAATTTTGTTTTAATAAATGTTACCTTTGCATTGCAAATCAATTGGTTAGTTACTTTTGTGCATGTAATGTCCATTATTCTTTGTGCTATAAAATATTCTCATAAGAAACCTTACACATTTAATTATTGAAATAGCTAATCACTAAAATATCACTCATTTTTTTCTCCCTTTCTTTGCTTTCTCCCCTTTGTTCACACCACTCACTTCACCTCTTACTGCAAACAATGTAGCTAAACATATAATGTGGTAGATGCACCTCTCTTTTTAATCTTCATACTCCTTTTCCCCACTCAATATCTATTTCCTGTTGACCAACCATTAATTGCACATCTAAAATATGCTTAGGAAACATGCTTCTACTGAAATATTATTCTGTGATTGCAGTTTTATAATCTATGCCACTACATCCCCTTATCCATTGAATGATTTGATCATGACATTGCAAAATTTCATACTACCCTTTCTTTCTTTTATGTGTGTCACCTAATATGATTTTAACAAAGAAAAAAAATGAAACTAATGAAAAAAAGTTAACAATACTCATGAGTACTCCTGTAATTTCTAAGCGAATTTCTCCTCTTTTTCAGAAATAAAAAGAGTGATAAAAATAGAAGAGAAGAGGAATAGAAGTTGAGGGTGGGGATTAAAAGAAATGGACATAATTATTCATACACCCATAAATTTTGAATATTTTTATCCATTTCTCAGAATCTAATGCCCATATGATGCCAGGTTTTTTTATATGTTAATAAGCACAAACAAAGGAATATAAAACTCAATTTTCAGAATAATAGTTTAAATACAACAAATTTGACAGGTGAATTATGCAAAAAAGGAAAAAGCAAAATTATTCCTACAGTATCATTTTAAATTGATTGATTCATGTAAGTAATTTACATAATTATTTTATTGGTGAAGCTTTCTAGACTATGTATTCAACAGAATATTTGTGATATTTCCAGCAAAGAATATCACATTGCACATTGAGTGTCACCATTGTTATTCTCACGTTAACAACATGATAGGGAAGACAAAGAAGCTTAGTGTTGACATGAGACATAGAATTATTAACTTCCACAAGTTGGGAAATAGTTACAGCACTATTTAAAACTGGTTAGTTATTCCTGGATCTATGGTACAGTCCATTATAAAGAAGTTTAAACAGTTTGGCATGACAGTTTGGCATGGAAGAAAACCCAAATTGTCACTGAGAACTGCACAAAAATTGTCAGGAGGTTAATATAAACCCAAGAGTTCTTTTGAAAGACATCACCAAAAGTTTAGATACGATGGGTAGCAGTGTAAGTACTCGCACAATACAATGTTGTTTAAATAGAAATGGGTTGTATGGAAACCAACTACAATGAAGCCCTCTTCACAAACCATGCCACACTGTTACTCAGTTTAATTTTGTCAAAACGTTCTTGGACAAAGAAAATTGCTTTTTGGGAACAAATAGTATGGAGTGATGAAACAAAAACTGAGCCTTTTAGACATAATGATGTGCAGAAGATTTGGTGCAAGAAAGGTGAGGCTTTTATCCCAAAAAACACAGTGGCAACATTAAAACATGGAGGTGGCTCGATGATGTTTTGGGGTTGTTTTAGTTCAAGGGGGACTAGACAATTAATTGGAATAAGTGGAATAATGAAATCTGCAGACTAATTCAAAATTCTGGATGAAAATCTACAACTATCAGCACAAAAACTTCATCTAGGTTGGCGATTTACTTTCCAGCAAGATAATGATCCCAAACATATGTCTAAATCAGTAACTGCATGGCTTCAGAAAAAGAAAATTACAATTCTGCCATGGCCTTCAATGAGTCCCAACTTGAATCCTATTGAAAATCTATGGCAAAAATTGAAAGTTCAAATAAATCGTCGATCACCAAAAAGCCTTCAGGAATTAGAATGTGTAACCATTGAAGAATGGAAAAATATCCCAGACTTGTTCAAATCTCATCAAAAACTTTAGAAAATGATTTCAGCAAGTTATAAAGATGACAGGTCATGCTATTAACTATTAATATTGTAAAAATTGTTTAATTTTTCTATTTTTCATACTGCACGAATGATTTTGTCTTTTCCAATTTTACATAATTCACCTATCAAATTTATTGCATTTAACCTATTGTTCTGAAAATTGAATTTTATATTACCTTTTTGTGCTTATTAACATATAAAAAACATGACAACATTTGGGCATTAGATTCTGAGAAATGGATAAAAATATTGAAAATTGATGGGTGCATGAATTAGTTCATCATATAACCTTTCACACTGATTTTTTGCCTTTTTTTGAGATGTAAGGTTCAGGCAGTCACTTTGATTGGCAAAACAAACAAGCAACAAAATGAAATAATACAATGACATATACACTCATCTATTTCTTTACTTCCTCTTTCTTTCCCCCACTTCTTTCTCCTTTTCTTCACTCATATGACTACCAGAGTTTCTTTCCTCAAACCCTCTTATTCTGCCAACCACTTCCCACAATGCAATCCACTTTCCCTTCTTTCATCTAATAAATTACCACTTCTACTGTATTCAATTTCTTTCATTTTCTCTTTCCAAAATGACCTGTTGACAAGCAAAAAGGAAAGTTTATATAATTTATTTTTTCCTTTTTTCTTCTCCCCCACTTCTCTCACACCAGCACATAAGTATGTATTCCTTAAAAATATAGTTCTTACATAAAATACAAAATACAATTTGAATTTATGAGTGTATTAAGTGACAATTTTGTTTATACTCATAAAATATTTAATAACATGGATGTAATTAATATAGGTCCATTGATAGCATGCTTTGGGTGAACTTGTCTCTCTGAATAAAAAAATATTGAAACTTAGATATTCACTTTTGATTTTTTGACAAAAGAACACAATGGATGCCTTTAAAAAAGTTTGAGCAATATATACTTTATTATGGCATTTCATATTTAGAGCCACTTTCTAAGAAAAGATGACAGAACTCTTGTTATTCCTAATATGAAGAGTTGAGGATTATAGTTCTATGGATAATATGGTTGAAGTTTGCATGAGAGTAAAATGTGCTAACATCTTTTTCAGCATTCTATTTTTCATTATAATGTTTGTCAGTAATATGTCTCTTTCTCTTACACAAACAAAGTACACTGCGTGTCAAATTATTATTGAGATAACTTTTTTCTAATATTTCAAAAACCGTCCAATCAATTCACACAACGTTGGCAACACTGAGCTGCGCAATCACTGAAATTTTCGTACTGATCTGCGCAATGTAAACAAACTGGCGCCATATTTGTTATCAGCATAGTGATTTGAGTGTGCCAAATTATTAGAAAAGTATAAGAATTTAGTGAAAAGATGGGCCGTAAAAGCAGTTTAAGTGATGCAGAAAAGAAAACTATTACCTCAGAACTCTCAAAAGGTAAATCTACCCTAGAAATTTTTAAAATGATAGGGAAGTGTCATCAAACAGTGAAAAATTCACCGCCGACCCTACACAAGTACGCAAAAGGGCATATAAAGGCAAGCCGAGGGTTATTTCATGTTGTCTCATGTCACGACTTAAACGAGAGGCCACGAAGAACCCTGGACTTACCAGTCAAGAGCTTTTCAGCCATATTGGGGATCCTACTGTGTCTAAAAGTACTCGGTGTCGGTGTTATAAAATAAATTAAGACATATCTTGGTTGATTTACAGGCAAATAAACTAACATACTCAAGAGCGAGAGCCGGATGTGAACGGGACAAGGCCCCATCACAAAATGACCATTATCTTCGTTTACACATGTTCCTGACGTGCGAGTTCCGGTCGAAAAATAAAATAATATTTTAAAGTGTTTCTATTTTTCGACCAATGAAAATGCTTCTCTCCTAATTATACTCGCATCGTTTTTCAAGCCTGTTAAGCCATAAAAAAATGCCATAAAAGGGGTCACACGGAAGTACAACGCAGTCAACAGGAGGCCAGGGAAGAGACCTGTCACAGTCAGGCTGAGCAGTCAGCAGCAGTCAGCAGGGGGAGCACCAGTGCCAACCAGTGTGAACTACTATGAGAGATCAACCCAGATTCAAAGCCGGCTTATGAACTTTACCACAAGGTAGTTGTCTCAAACCCACACGTTCCTGTTGAAATAAATCACGTAAATCTATTTCTGCTGTTGTTGTATTTCTTTCTTGCAACCATATGCTTGTCTATAACATCGGTATCTGAGGGAAATAGCAACAACAGTCAAACCTGTATCGAAGTCTCCTTTGACGAGAAATTACATTCAAAATCGATTGAAATGGGCCGAGGACAATATGAAGATTGACTTCTCTAAAGTTTTGTTCACAGACGAAACTCGAGCAACACTTGATGGGCCAGATAGATGGTGCAAAGGCTGGGTAATGAACGGACAGAATCGCCATCATTGTTTGAGATGTCAACAAGGTGGTGGAGGCATAATGATCTGGGGTGCTATTATTGGAAAAACATTAGTGGGCCCGTGGAGAGTACCAGATGGCATCAAAATGACTGCTGATGCATACATAGCGTTTATGAAGGAGCATCTTGAACCGTGGATGAAAAGGCAAAGAGTTGCCTTCAGAAGGGCCATTGTTTTTATGCAAGATAATGCTTCCTCACATGCTGCTCACAAGACTACTGAATATTTGAAAAAGTTAGGCTTCGATGGACCTCGAAAAATGAAGTGGCCAGCAAATTCTCCGTATTTGAACCCAATCGAAAACCTTTGGAGCATCATGAAGCGAAGACTGTACACCAACGGACGACAATTCAAGAGCAACACTGAGTTGTGGGAAGCAATTTTTGACATATCTCGCGGCATTACAGCAGATGACATCCTACAATTAACAAATTCTATGGATCGTCAACTTTTTCAAGTAATTTCAAAACAGGGAAAGCACATTCCCTATTAATTTGTTTAAAACTGTGCCTTTGTTTGTATCTGTTATTATTTGTTTGATTATCTTATTTATTAGCATCTTTTGATCATAAACATTCATGTTTAACATTAATAAACGTTTTGTTTGCTCAATTCTGGGAATTTTACTAAACCTTTCTAAAAATTTGGCACGCTCAAATCACCGTGCTGATAACAAATATGGTGCCAGTTTGTTTACATTGTGCAGATCAGTACGAAAATTTCAGTGATTGCACAGGTCAGTGTTGCCAACATTGTGTGAAAATTTTGATTGGACGGTTTTTGAAATATTAGAAAAAACTTATCCCGATAATAATTTGGCATGCAGTGTATATACTACTAGTATATACTTAGCTGATGCTATTTTAAAATAAATGTTGACAGATTATTGTGCTGTACCTTTATAGCTCTATTTAGTTGAGTTGCATCAAATTCTGTCATTGTCATGAAGAGGTTCACAGCTACATCTTTAAAATGTCCACTTAATTCACTTTTTAGCTCTTTAATGAGATCCTATTAAAAAAAGAACACAATTATTATGACAAAAATCAGATTTATAATCAATAATAAGGGAGAAATATGATATATAAATTTATATCAGATGTGAATAATTTCTGTTCAAATTTCTGGGCATAATTACACTATTTACATTTGGCTTATTGAACTCATTTTTGTTGTTATCACAATGCTTCAGCCATTGTACCCTCCAGTCTTCATCAGGTGTATATCGATCTAGGTAAGCTGCAGGAAATTCTCAATTGAACCATTTATTTAATCTATGGGGATAAACTGTTCTCATTCCATTTTATTTTTAGTATTGCTGAGTTATTGCTCACCTGTTTTCCACTGAGTACACAAGTACACACTGCCTGTCCCAGGGATTGAACCTATAATTACCATATCACTAAATTCATGAACCAATGCTTTAATCCACTAATTTTGTCCCAGAGGATAATTCTCTGTGGTAAATTTGAAGCCTTAAATTTGAAGCCTTAAATCTAACCTGCCTGCTGATTAGTGCTGTTGCTGCCTGTCATGTTTGACTGCTGTTGAAGACTTGCCATCATTTGTCATTCTTCCTTTATTAGTGACTCCTATATTGTATTTATTTCTATGCTAGGCCTATCAAAGGTCTATTTGATATTCCATTGAGATCTATAGTCAGCTTACACCCACTGAGCAAATTTCAAGTCGACAGTCAACCCACTGACAGGGAAGTCTTTGTTCTATGTTAGAAACTTGAAACACTTTGGGAAATTGAGTCAAGAAGCTCCCATCCATAGCAATTGGATGGTAAACTTGAATGTGGTACACCTGTTCACCAAAGTTTCTACAAATGAGGCTTGATTGGAATCACAACCCTCCCTGAAAGAACATACTAACATTCCAACAAATAATCTGATGGAAATGTTGATGTTCTGTGTATCGACAACATTCCATCTAATGTCTGATATATATACAAGAAGAAAGCTTCACTATGGGTTTACCATTATCACCAGTGATAGTGAACATATCAAGGAAATGACTTTAGGGATGACACCAATAAAGCCAACAGTATGACTAAAATATGGAAATGACACTTTCATACTCTGTAATACTCAGGAAGCTGCAAAATACTGCTGGAGCATAATAATTAGCTAGCCTTTCAGGATGTACTAATAACTCATACAGAGAATGGATTCAAAACTTCCACATCTCACAAGCCAACCTTCACTAAACAATACCCAAACTTCAATTACCACCTTTTATATAGTGTGAAGAAAAGGATTACCCAATGCCTACAACACTGGGAAAAAGTAATGTCACAATCCAGACACATATCAACAAGAAATTATCAGCATCAAACAATCCCTTCAGAATAACTACCCTGCAAGTGGAAATAGAAGGGTCAAGGAGAAAGACCAGAAAATTGCCACTGTCTGATATGGATAACAGATCTTTTGAAGATCTGTTATCCATACACCATCAAGACTATATTCAGAAGCTCTCCACTTTATGAAGAAATCTCTACTGAGGAAAACCTAACATAATGAAGAACATGACCAAGAACTCCATTTCTTGCAGCTGTGGCAAAGAATATAAAGGTAAACAAGCCACCACTAAAAGTAAGTCTGGAGGAACATCAAAAAGTCATATTGAGGGGGGGAGAATGAAATCGGGTATGTCCAAGGGTGGGGGTTGGTGTTATGTTCCCAGGGGCTGAAATGTAGTTATATGAAGAAAGATAAAAGGATGAAATGAGAGGATAAACTAAATACAATTTGAATGGTGAGTGGTGCTGTTGGATGTGTAATGATAAAATGGCCTTTAAGTATTTAGTCATATTGCGCACATTTAGGATCAACTTGAATGTGTCTCACTCTAGTGTGATTGCACTTTTGCTTGTACCTGTGAGATCTCTCATTCTCATTTTGATTTTTCTGAATATGGGGTGGTGAAGGAGATGACAATTCAAAAGTGTCCATCAGTAAATCAAATGGAATAGTTGGCCTGTTCCTAACTATGTCATTTTTGGTGTATCTGGGACATACTTGATTTTTAGGCCATGCCCAGAGTTGACTTCCAACTTGTACACCAGTGTAGTACAGAGCTTTCAACTCATGAGTGCCTCACTGCTCCATTTGGTGTTGATTGGTAAGAAAGTATGAAAGCATGCAGTCTCCTCTGTTGTTGTTCCCTCCCACTTTTTTAAGTAGAATATGTTTGAATGTGTCCACAAAATGTTCAGCTTGACTGTTGGATTGTGGGTGATAAAGTGGTGCCTGGATGCAGAAGTGATGGGACAACTCCAATTTTAATTTGTGACCCATTGTCCGAGACTAGTGTCTCAGGTAGTTTGTGTTGACTAAATAGTTGTCTGAGGATTGCAGTTGTCTGTCTGTTGCAGAAAGATTTCTGTCCATTTGGAATGGGCATCTACAACTACCAGAAAACTAAGGCAATTGATAGGGCCAGCAAAATCAATGTGCACCCAAGACCATGGTTGCTCTGCGTATGTCCAGTATGAGTCCAAAGTGGATTTTTCTGTGCTTCTATGCATTGGATGCAACTTCTAACTGCATGTTCTATGTCTGTGTCTATGTTAGGCCAGTAGACCACACTGTGGGCTATGGCTTTCATCTGGGTGTGCTGAATGTAGTTGTTTCAGACTGCCTTAGTGGGAACAACAACACAATCTGTGAACATCAGACAATCATCAATTACTGGTAGAAAGTCCCTGCAACACTGAAACTGTTGAAGGACTCCTGTGGATTTAGGGAGCCATGAATGGTGGATAAATTTAATGATTTTTTGTATGACTGAGTCTTGTTGTGTTTCCTGTTTTATATCACAGGAATTGTTCTGATGCAATCAATGAGCATGCGTTTGAAATTGTGTGCAATGCTGATGGCAGCAATGATGGTATCATTGACTGGCACTGTTTGCGTACTGACGAGGTGTAATAAGGTATCAGCTTGACCAAATTCCATTGTCTTGTGGTACTGGATGTTAAAATCATACCCCAATAATATGGTCACTCAATGTTGTAATCGGCTAGCTGAGTATACAGGGATACCTTTTTTGAGCCAAATATAGAAAGTAATGGCTCTGTTAGAAGCATGAAAGAATGTCCAAATATCATCTCATGGAATTTCTTCATGGCAAAAATTAGTGCAAGTCCTTCCTTTTCCACTTGGCTGTAGTTACGTTCAGCAGCTGTCAGGGACCTAGCTGCATGCATGATGACTCACCAGCCCAAGAGATGAGCATAAACTGCTGATATCTTTCAGGGGTGGCATTCGTTGAATAGCTGTAACATTTGCAGGATTTGGATGTTGACCTTCTTTGTCAAATATAAAGCCCAGGTATTTTATTGATGGTAAGTGAAACTGGCACTTTTCTGGTTGAAGAGGAATAACTTTTCTTAAATATTTTCATTAGGGCCAACTGTGCCCTAACAGTTAATCACCAGTTCACGTGGAATAAAGTAAAGATACTAGACAAGGGAGGACACTAGAGAGTTAGTCATCTGAAAGTCAATTCTAGACTATGAGGACCTCCTTAATAGACCTAGCATAGAAATAAATACAGTATGGAAACCATTAATAAAGAAAGACAAATGACAGCAAGTTTTCAACAACAGTAGCACTAATCAGCAGCAAGTTAGGTTTAAGGCTCCAAATGCAGGGCAATAACCTAGTGGATTAAAGTATTGTTTTATGAATTTGGTGATATAGTAATTGTGAGTTCAAATCCCTGGGCTGAGTACTTAGTGGAAAACAGGCAAGAAATAACTGAGCAGTACTAAAAATTAGAACTAGAGATATTGTGGAATGATTGGCTATGGTCAAATGCAAAATAAGTAACAGAACTATCCAACAAATGGAATTGACAAAATTTGTAACAAGCAATAGCAAGAAAAAGAAAAGAGCTGGGCAAAAAATAATATAAGGCAAGAAAACAATACATGCAAGGCATATTAACACTCATAAGGCAAAGCAGCAGTAATATGGCAAAAAGTTCACAAACTAAGAATTGGTGTTGATACAAAAAAGCAAGTTAGAACAAACAAAAGTAGCATTCTGACTTCAAGACAAGACAGACCAATTAACTGGACTATTTTGTTGGCTAGGAAAAAAATCCCAGCATGCATTTGTGTGATTCTCCCTATAAAATGGAGGACGGGAAAGTGTTTTGAAATCATTCTCTGTGACTGAAACAAACAGATATCTCTAGAAATGGGCAGTGGAATAAGAACAATTCACATAGATTAAATGGTTTAGTACAAAATTCTCTGTAGGTTACCCAGATCGTTATACACCTGAGAGCACAATGACTGAAACATAACAACAAGAAAGATGAGGACAATAGTCCTAATGTATATAGTAATTGAATAACAAAGCAGAAAAAATTTTTATGTAGCATGGATGAACCATTAAAAGAAGTTCATTAGACTAAAATAATGTTTTTATTGATTGAATTATATCTATGTAGAGAGTGAAAATATAAACAAATTGTCTTATACATCAAGAAGAACACTGAATATGTAGGGACTCTAAACTTTCAATTTAAATTTCTGACATCCAAATTGCCTAGATATACAGCTCAATCAACGTCATTCAACTTCCCAAGAGTTTTGTTTTTATCACTAATGTGACTATAGAATAATAATAATAATGATGATGATGATGGAAATAATAATAATAATAATAATAATAAGAATAATATGGCCATAAAATAGTTCTTGTTACTTTTTTTATTGCTGAATGTTTTTTTTTTTGATCAATAATTAAATATTTAAAGATAAATTTTTAATTTTCTTTCATTTCTACAAAATTTGTGAATTTCACATTCTTTGCAGTAAAATGTTTGATGAGAAAAGATAGAATTTTATGTTTTTGTTGCAAGACTATTTTCTTTCTTTTATCCAGTTTGTTCCAACAAAATAATTATATTTATTAAACATTTTTAACAATTTTTTTAATTGTGACACTATCAAGATGGAGTGTAGACATTTTAATTCTCATACTATTTTGATAAATTGAGAATGAGTGAAGGCAGAAAAGACATATGTGAGAAATTTTGCAATGAATTTTGTTCTGACCTTCAGTTTTGAAAAGGTGAGAGATATCTGTTTTTCAGTAAAGAAAGAAATTTTCTATGAGGTCATCATCAATTTATTCGCTCAAGACAATGAAACAGAATGAATCCATCAAGAGTTTTATCATTAAGCAATGAACAGTAATTTTATTCCCTAAGTTGTGTATCTTTAATTTCCCCAGTAGTTGGTGACATGATGTTACTATGTAGTTGGGGAAGGGATTGTCATTGTATATTGGTATGTTGCACTTTAAAAAATGAAAAGATCACATTGTGTGCAAGAATTTGGGAAGTTCTAACAAATTTTGAAATACTGCAATTGTAAACAAACCAAGATACTGGTGTGGCACCTTGCATTATTAGAAATATTCATAGAAATATGATTTAATTTTTTCTTATTCGGTTTACTAAACAGGTTGTTGATTTTTTTTAAAACGGAAAATAATTGAGTTGAAAATAATTCACTAAGATTGTACTTGGACGATCCTAAGGGAAGAAGAAGGAAGGGGAAAGAGAGAGGTCGAGAAATACAAAAAAAAAACGGTCATTAACAAAAACACGAGTCAGAAAGATATCTTAGCTAGCATGTTGACCGAATTTTTTTAAAGACAATTGGAAGAATAGAATTAGAAATAATAAGAAGAAAGAAAGGGAAAAAAGACATGATATCAAAACGGGCCGCTTGATGGAAGCCAGATATCGGTCAAAGCACCTAGCCTACTTTTGCATGGAAAGACACCTTATCAATTTGGATAAAGAGAAATTTTGGGAACAATGAAACAATCTTAATCAGAGAAAAAGTGTCTTTTGGGTTGAGGGGAGTGACCGGTGGAACGGTATACAGGCTCTGACCTGTTAAAAATTAGAACCCCACAATAATAAAGTGGAGACATTTTCAATGTAGATAATTAAGATTTTTGACTATCAGGAAAAACAAAGAGGTAAAAAGAGGGACAATTGCTTTTGGCTCACAGAGGGCGCCAAGAAGGCGGAAAAGATCCTTTCTGAAGTCAAGTCTAATTAGCGGCGGGCTGTTTGACAAAGTCCAGGTGAGAGAAGGCCAAGATGGTCATTTTTCGTACGTGCGAAAAAAAAGGAAAAATTAGATTTTGTTTTTTAGAACAAGAACGATATAAGCCCGCCCCTGATTGATTGCAGGAAACGCCCAATCAGGATCTCATTAGCCGAAAACGGTCACGTGGCTGCAGAAAAGAAAAGAAAGAAATGCTCAACCAGAATCCCATTAGCCGAAAACGGTCACGTGGCTGCGGAAAAGAAAAGAAAGAAATGCTCGATCAGAATCTCATTAGTCGAAAGCGGTCACCTGACATACGAGAGACCGAGAGAGATGGATATGCGCCTCCCCACCACCAAAAGCACTATGAGGAAGTAGGGGTGAAAACAATAGCGATAATGGGGAAACAGAATTAATGCGGCTATTGGAATTATCGAGAAAACCCTGACGCCGACAGACCCACCCCGGGTTGCTGCGGCGTCAATAAAAGCAGGGCCCCAATCGACAAAAAATCAGTTCAGCCCCGGACGGCAGCGAGAAGAGATCACCGGACGACAGAGAGTTGCGGCTGAGTTGCGGCAAGAGATCCTTCCAGCCCAAGTCGAAGACAAGAGAACTTCCAGCCTAAGTCGACGAAGAAGAAGAAATACAACCCAAGTCGAAGACAAGAGAACTTCCAGCCTAAGTCGACGAAGAAGAAATACCACTCAAGTCGGAGAGAAGAATCAACTGCGAATGATCGATAGAAATTAGCCCCAGTGTCGAACCAAACCACACTCCGACATACACAATTCTAAAGAGTAGGCAATTCAAAAATCTTTTAGGTTGTGTGATAGAAGCTTGGTGCCATAGTCCACAGAGCGGGTTGGGAAATGAGAACAATTTTGTTTTTATGTAGCGGACATTAAGATATAAAAGGTTGTTACCCATTTTTTTTTTTCATCAGCAATCTTTTGTCTCGTGAGTTTATTTTCTCTTTTATTTGTGTTTTGCCACCCCGTCGGACTCAACTTGTATCGGCCCCAATCCCTGCTGGTCCCGTCTGTCTAAGATCTAAACACAGCGTGGGTGGACAGACCGGAGATCGGTACAGTTGCTTTAGTGACCAGGTATTGGAAGCGAGTGGGGAAAGGCGAGGCTGGTGATCATCTGACCAAGGGGTTGGAGCGGCACGCTTGGACCCAGGAGGAGCGACCAGGAGGAGCGACGTCACCGTTGGCGCCGTAACCAAAGGATCCGACCCTGGGCCAGGTGTGTAACCGTCACACTGGTGAGAGAATTACAGCTAATTCTGACACCATATGTGGAAAAGAAAATTTAAATTCATAAATATTATTCATCTCTTTGTCCTGAACAGTCCTATTTTTATATTATGGAATATAAGAATGTGATAAAATATGTTGTAACTGGTGTTGATCAAAAAATCTGAAAGAGAACTGCAAAGTTAATGTTGCCATTACTGTGATCAAGATGACCACATTGAAATTTGGCAATCTTAAAAAAAATTGTCAGTAAATTTTTTTCATTCCTTGGTTCAACATCTGTGAACAGACATTTTCATGTAAGAACATTGACAAATCAAAAATAGGTCTCAGGTAACAAATACAGTTTGTCTTGTGCAATGAGTAAATTGAATCCTGATTACGTAAAAGCTTGTAAAAGAGTTTTCTCAGTTGCACAAATCTTATTAATAGTAACAAATGTATTAAATACTGAACTAATTTCTCATACATTTGTAGAATTTGTTCACAGAATGTATCTAAATAAATAAATAAATGCACATGTCTGGTTATTTATAGTGTTGTTGTGAAACTCATATTGTTATTATGTTGTGGCCCACTTTACACAGGGCTGCTAATGGTGTATGAAAAAAACTTTTCCCACCCTTGTCTTAAATGCTTTCCTTTTTCTGGGTGATTTGTGAATTTTACATTATGCCTATTTAAAGTTATAGTTCTTTAAAAGTGTCTAAATTTTTACTTTTTTTTTTATTATACTAGACTAAATAAACTACAATGACTAAATAAAAAACAAATTATTAAAACTTACCTGGCCATATATTTTCTTGAAATCTTTTCTTATTTCTACTCTTTGTTCTGAAGATCTGTAAGCTATTACATTTATGATTGCTTTCTCATCTGTGCCTTCAAATCAGATGAAAGATATATAAAAATTTCATGTACACTAATATAATATAGAAGAAAACTTTAAACATTCTTTAATGGAAAGGATAAAATTACGCTTTTATTTTAATGTTATATTGTGGACTCGTCCAATATCCTTACCTTTCCAACCCTAACAAAAGCACAGTCCACATCGTACGCCTACGTACCTAAAAAAAACTTCAACCAATAAAAACGGCAAGAAACGAAGCAAACAACCCCATTGGTCAATCACTTGAAGTTCACGTGCAAAACAGAAATTGCGCCAAAAATCAAGTGAGCCACTTTTGGAAATTCAAACGATATAAAAATAAACGTAGACATCCCCAGACAGTCAGTCTCACGAATTCGCAGAGTACTTTCGAATATACTCCACGCCACTACGAACCAAAATTTTGCCGCGCACGAAGATACATCGCTGACTCATATTCGATCATTCATTAATCAACTCTGTGAACACTTTTCTCAACTTTGCTTATGTACAGTGAATTAAATTCACTACTTTAAAATAAGTAAACATCAACGAACATACAACATTACGAAAACATCAACTACGTTTAAGGGTAGATCACTCTAAAAAAAAAAGACTCTTTCAAGCAAAAAAAGACACAACATAAATCATTTCAACAGGAACGTGAAGATTTGGGACAGCTATGAATTACAATTAAACCGGCTTTCGGATCTGGTCGATCAAACAAACGCTCCCCTGCTGCTGATCGCTCGACAGCGAATCAACGAACAATATCAACAAATTTTTATTGACATTCACAAATCTAACAATTTGTAAAGAAAGATACATACACATTTCGTCCACATCGACACACACTGATTATCCAATCTGTATATTGTTAAATTTTATAATATAAATGTTGCATTGATTTCAACTAAATTGTATATGTCTCGTTTTTTAATTGCATTTTCCACAATTTCGTTTATTCATTTGTTTAGGATGCATATAAATGACACGCAACCAACTCAAAATTCCTTTTAATGATTTTTTCTCAAATTTAATTGTTTGGGACAACTCTGCACGTCCCCAACAAATTGGCTGACCCAAATGACGTTCTGCACGTCCCCAACAAAATTGGCGACCCCGACGTTCCACCAAAAAAATTGATCACCCCGACGTTCACATAAAAAAAAAAATGAAAAAAAAACCAAAAAAAAAACCCATCGCTAATAAAATTGGCGACTCAGACGTACCACCAACAAAAACTGGTAAACCCGACGTTCCAAAAAACAAAATTGACGACCACGACGTTCAAAAAGAAAAAATTCGCCATCAATAACAAATTGATGACTCCGGCGTTCATATAGTAAAACCATCGACAACAAAATTACTGACCACGAGGTTCGATGTTTAGCGCTATCAACAAAATAGGATAACCCGACGTTTCAACAAAAAATTCCATAATCCTAACGAACTAAACCAAATTAGTGGCAATTCCAAACGCGCGGGAAGAAAATAAATTGTCACGTGTTCGAAACAGCAGATCAACAATACAGAAACAAGAAAATTCAACATCATAAATGGCTGATCCAGTTCCTGTCACAGAAACGGCCATCAGACTGGAAATGCCTGTTTTTAACTCAAATGTGCAGACCTGGTTTTTACAACTGGACGCGATATTCCAGGCCAGATATATAACCTCACAACAATCGAAATTCGCGGCAGTGGTGGAGAAACCACCTGCAGAGGTAGCGGCTGAAGTAGCCGACATATTAACCTCTTTACCCATAGAAAAACCATACGAAACTCTCAAACAAGCAATACTACACAGATCTGGTTTTTCAGAAGAAAGAAAGATACGAGACCTTTTAACGAACGTTACGATTGGAGATGCAAAACCATCTCAACTACTACGACGAATGCAACAACTGTTGGGTGATAACGACATATCAACCACAGTATTCCGCCAAATGTGGCTAGATAAACTACCAGCAGACATAGTACGAATTTTAGCCGCTTTAGCAGACGACATGGATATTCAAAAACTTGCAACAATAGCAGATAAAGTAGCCGACACTACACCGATAAGACACATTTCCGCAACGGAGACAGTGGATGGCCTTGTGCCAGATGTTAACCGACAGATACAAAAATTATCTTCGGAACTGCAAGAAATATCTATACAATTGCGTGATTTACAAAAATCACATATAAGTCGGCGTGATAATTCTACGAAACACAAGAAACAAAGTTCAAGACCAACGTCTCGGCATAAATATCAACAACGACGTGATCGTTATCAACACGCAAATTGTTGGTACCACGAGAACTTTGGCGCGCGCGCGAAGAAATGCAGACAACCATGTTCATATAGGAAGTCATTCCCGAGTAATCAAGCGGGAAACGGACACGCTGGCACCCAGTAGAGACGTTGGATGCCAGACATTTAAAGACTAATCGTCTCTTCTACATTCATGACAGAACGAGCGGGTTAAATTTTTTAGTCGATACCGGTGCTCAGATAAGTGTCCTGCCTCAAAAGAATTGCAACAAACAAATTCTAGCCAAGCACACATCTTTTAAGTTGCAAGCCGCTAATGGCACACCTATCACAACTTACGGTGAACGAACTTTAACACTGGACATAGGTCTTAGAAGAGAACTCACATGGACCTTTATTATCGCAGATGTCTCAATGCCAATATTAGGAGCAGATTTCCTAACGCATTACAAATTATCAGTTGAACTAGCATCACAAACCTTAACAGACACGAGCACGAATATACAACGCTGCAGTTTTATTTCCAAATATTCAACAATCGGTCTGACAACTATTATACCTACAGCCAATGGCTACGACGAGATAATACGTCAGTACCAATCACTACTATCACCGTCAACACACAACGAACCTGTGAAACACCATGCCACACATAGTATCAAGACCACAGGACCCCAGTTCATTCTCAACCACGCAGACTCCATCCTACCAAACTGAAAATAGCCCGTGACGAATTTAATAACATGATCAAACTTGGCGTGATCCGTCCTTCAGCCAGTCCTTATGCCAGCCCTCTACATAGGGTTACTAAAGCTGACTCAGTTAGTTGGCGTCTGTGCGGCGATTACAGATTATTAAACGCCCAGACTGGTTCCGGATAAATACCCGATACCACATATAAAGGATTTCGCCCTTTCGCTGGAAGGTGCCAAAGTTTTTACCAAGCTTGATCTCAAAAAAAGCGTATTATTATCAGATTCCTATCGAAGAAAACGACATTCCGAAAACTGCCATTACTACGCCTTTTGGACTTTTCGAGTTCACGAGAATGCCTTTTGGATTGCGTAACGCGGCACAATCTTTTCAAAGGCTAATTGACGAAGTACTACGCGGAATGCCTTACACATACGCATATATTGATGACGTACTGATAGCAAGAAAATCTCACGCAGAACATCATGAACACCTACACGCTGTTTTGAAACGACTACAACATTTAAAACTGAACATTGACAATTGTTTTTGCAGTGCCGAAGTTAACTTTTCTCGGACATATTATAGACCAGCAGGGATTGTCCCCCTTGAACCAAAAAATAACAGCAATCACTAATTACCCCCCACCTTCTACGTTGAAGCAATTGAGGAGATTTTTGGGTATGGTAAATTATTACCGACAGTTTAACCCAAATTGTGCGTCAATTTTACTACCGCTAACGAATATATTGTCTCTACGTAAGAAAAAAAATTCACAGATTTCGCTATCAAAAGACGAACTACAATCTTTTCAGAACGCAAAAGAGGCACTACAAAAATGTACCAAGTTAACGTACATTGATTCATCAGAAAAATCTAATCTCACCCTGACGACGGATGCATCAGCTGACACGATTGGCGCCGTACTACATCAAATTACTGATGGCATAGAAACACCCTTATCTTTTTTTCTCACTAAAGCTAAATGCTACACAGAGAAAATATAGCACTTTTTCGAGGGAATTACTTGCTGTATATTTGGCAATACGGCATTACCGACACATACTCGAGGGAAGAGATTTTATAATTCTTACGGACCACAAACCGCTAACGTACGCATTGCACGCAAAAGCTGACAAGTTAAATCCGAGAGATATTCGATATTTAGACTATATTTGCCAATTTACATCAAACATTCGATACGTAAAGGGTCAACATAATACTGTTGCGGACGCACTATCAAGACCTACACTCGACGCAATACAATCATCTCCATTCGAATTTGACACGCTTGCTGAAGAACAATTGAATGACGATACACTCCCTTCAGTACAGGCAGATACCTCGCTAAAATTAGAAAGACGTCCATTACCTTTCACTGACAAACTCGTTTATTGCGATACTTCAACAGGTAACCCTCGACCCTACCTACCTCCATCGAGGAGAAAGATAATTTTCGACTACTTCCATTCACCAGCTCACCCTGGAGCGAAGGCCACGCTGCGGACCATATCCGACAGATTCGTCTGGCCCGGTATGGCTTCAGACGTGAAACAGTGGTCCCGCACGTGCCAGGCAACGAAGATAAATCGCCACACTAGAACGCCATCGTCAAGTTTTGCGGCCCCTGATGGTCGTTTTACCCATATACACGCCGATTTAGTGGGTCCACTTGACAGAATAAACGGACACGAATACATCCTGACGATTATAGATCGCTTCACGCGATGGCCCGTGGCTGTACCGCTAACAACGATAACGGCAGAAGCGGTAGCCAATGGTATTTTTCAAAATTGGATCTCCATATTCGGATGCCCTGCGGTTATTACAACCGACAGAGGACCTCAATTCCAGTCGACTCTATTTACCGAATTTGTCAATTTACTGGGTATCAAACATATTTCTACTACGGCATACCATCCCTGCAGCAATGGACTAGTAGAACGTTTCCACCGACAGCTCAAGTACGCATTAACAGCGTCTACCAGCGCTCGTACGTGGGTAGACAAGCTACCATTTGTAATGCTTGCGCTACGCAATACAATTAAACTAGACCTTAAATGCACTAGTGCGGAGTTAGTATTCGAAAACCAACAACCCTACCAGGACAAATTTTCCACAACGTAACGAATTCTACTCCTACCAATTATTTTGTGGCCGACCTTAAGAAAAAAAAAATGACAGACATAATATATACGCCCACTCGGGTTTGTAAAAAACCATTCTACGTGCCAACGAACTTACATTCCACAGAATACGTTTTTCTGCGTCGAGACGCAGTACGAAAACTGTTAACGCCGAATTATACAGGTCCACATCTGGTGATATCCAGAACACCAAAATATTTCATTATTGACGTTGCTGGAAAGCAAAATACTGTCAGCATCGACAGACTTAAACCAGCATACGTACAGTGCGACGACGTAAATCAAACACCACCAAAAAAACGACAACATCAGAACAACCAAATACGCAGACAACGACAACAAATACGTCTCCATCAACGCAGTCTACTCGCACGAAATCCGGCAGACATGTTCATTGGCCAACTAAATTTCGAACATATATAACATATTAATGCCAATTGATCATAGCATTAATCTAGGGGGAGGTATTGTGGACTCGTCCAATATCCTTACCTTTCCAACCCTAACAAAAGCACAGTCCACATCGTACGCCTACGTACCTAAAAAAAAAACTTCAACCAATAAAAACGGCAAGAAACGAAGCAAACAACCCCATTGGTCAATCACTTGAAGTTCACGTGCAAAACAGAAATTGCGCCAAAATCAAGTGAGCCACTTTTGGAAATTCAAACGATATAAAAATAAACGTAGACAGCCCCAGACAGTCAGTCTCACGAATTCGCAGAGTACTTTCGAATATACTCCACGCCACTATGAACCACAATTTTGCCGCGCACGAAGATACATCGCTGACTCATATTCGATCATTCATTAATCAACTCTGTGAACACTTTTCTCAACTTTGCTTATGTACAGTGAATTAAATTCACTACTTTAAAATAAGTAAACATCAACGAACATACAACATTATGAAAACATCAACTACGTTTAAGGGTAGATCACTCTAAAAAACTCTTTTCAAAAGACACTTATAATTCACAATTACAATTATTGACACAAACAAAAAGACAGTGAATCAACGAACAATATCAACAAAGAGACATTCACAAATCTAACAATTACATACACATTTCGTCCACACAACACACACTGATTATCCAATCTGTATATTGTTAAATTGTATATAAATGTTGCATTGATTTCTAAATTGCATATGTCTCGTTTTCAATTACATTTTGAATTTCATTTATTTATTTGTTTGGGATGCAGCAAGACACGCAACCAACTCAAAATTCCTTCTGATTCTTTTTGGTGATCTGAGAAAAAATTACTCACCAATTATATTACCAGCCTTTTAATCATGTGACAGTTCAAAGAACATTCTTTCAACAGTCCAAGAAAGCTAAATATTTCAAACTATCTCTCTCCATCTACTTTTGAACATATACAACAATATATCCCTTCAGTGAGCAACAAACTCTCTTGCCTTTATTTTAAACATTTTTGAATATTATTTTGTGTCAGATCATTTAATTGTATGAACACTTCCTCTTCTTTGTTATTATCATCCATCATTAATCTTCTTGGTGTGGGTAAATCAACTGTCCATTTTAACTCCAAAACCCCACATCACTATATGTACACATAAAATAAGCAGTTCTTATTTACTAAGTCATGGTCTCACTCAAAGCTAACTCCATGTAATCAACTAAAAGCATTAATCACAGTTAAAACAAAACAAATATATGTTTTATACAAAAAGTAAAGACTTTCCTACAAATGAATCTTCTCAGAAAATAATTTCAAAATACTTAAACAGAACTTAAATACTTAAACAGGGTCAATTTGCACAGAAAAAACTTACATTTTAGTTAAGAAATTCCCATTTTGATATTGCTATATATATTTTTGAGCACCCAGAAGATATAAAAAATGTACAATATTGAATGAAGAATAAGTAGCATTTCTGTTTGAAGCATTAAATGCTTTAAACAAAAATGCTGCTTGTAACATGGAAGATTGTAAGAAACAAGTGACAAAAAAATAGATCCCATGAAATTAAATCAGATTTATGCAACAAATGAAAGTGAAAATGTAGGAAACACAATCAAAATATTTCATTTTTTATTGCTTATAATAAAAATGAATACTATCATGTCATTAGGAAGATAAAAGTAAATTAAAAATTCTTATTAAAAATATTCTATAGAATAAGAAAATTCTATAGTTATATTAATCCTACACACATACAATTTTATGTAGCTGAATCATTTTTAACTATGCTACAGTGAATATGTTTTAATTAAAAACGTTTTACATCTGTAGATGAAATATGGGCATAAAGTTTTTAAAATATAGGGTGTTGATTTTAAAAATATTTCTTGATTAGATGTGAAAATATTAAAGGTTATTTTAGAAGGCTAACAACAAATGGAACAAAAATATGCATTCATTCTTACTGGCAGTTAAAAATTTGTGAACTAATTGTTCAGCATAATCATTTTTAATTACCAAAAATAATGAAAATTTTCAATGCTATTTTAAAGAGATATTTTAATTTACAAAAGGATACAAGAAATTATATACCAAATCCTTTAAAAGCTTTATGTAGAGTTTCACAATCTTTTTTTGAATTGAAATCAGAATAAGGCACCACTGTGGGAAATGTCTGGAATATAAAACAAGGCACATTTCTTTAGATTTTTTTTTAAACCAAATAAACTTAGATAAATTACACAGGCATTTATACAAACCTTTTAAAATTACTATATTTACTTAGTATTTTAAGAAGAAAATTTAATATCAGTGAATATTCTAGATTCCTCAATAATCCCAAAGAGAAATCAATTGTAATCACTTATTGCTCATAGATTTCATATTGGAATTTACTTTTTCCACATTTTCTATCAGTTCATAAAATCAATTCCAATCACATATTTATTTCAATAATGCAATTTTTGCAGGTGTTTTAAATAGAGAAGATGTTTTCATCAAAATCTATCAAAAATTAAAATATCACAATGTTAAACAAAGTATAATTTTTTAAATAATGCAAACAGTAGGGTGCTAAATAAGTGCAAGGTCTCTATTCTTCCCCTCTTCAATCAATTTGGTGTGTTATCATCCTCTGCTGATAAAGCTGAATGCTTTGCCTGTAAATTCTTCTCAAACTCTACTCTTGGCTCATCTGTTGTATCCCTGCCTAACTTCCCACTTGTATCCCTGCCTAACTTCCCACTTGTATCCCTGCCTAACTTCCCACTTTGAATCTCTGTTGAGATGCATATCTTCTTCCATGGTTTCTGCTATCATCTTTAACCTCAATTTCCTGATTCCTCCACACCATGTAACCCCTTGCATTCTGTACTGCCTTGCTTGGGATAATACTGATTTAAAAAAAAAAACATATGAAAAGCAGATCCAATTTTAAAATTACATTTGAAAAATATTTGGAGATTTTTTTTTTAAAAGGCATAAGTGCTTTTAATAATTATTTAAACATTTGGAAAATTGCAATTTTCTTCTTCTAGTTAAAAATTTTGTTGTTCATATTAGGATAAAATATTTTTATTATGAGAAAAAGTGTATGGACCACTTGAAGGACATATGATGTCTAATTGTAATAAATGCTGAAATTCATCTTTTGCTATTTTGTATTTCTCTGGATGCAATCTGCGTGGTGATGCATGTGTAGGTGGTCCAGTTGTTACGATATAATGTTTAGCAGTGTGACGAATTTCATCTGTATGTCTTAAAGGCATAGTAAGAGTAGGAAATTTTTTAATCAATTTCTGTAGTCCATCAACAGTTGGTATGGTTTTGACATGTAGAGTGAGGTGATTCCCCTTGCCTCTAAATTATGGTACTGTCGTTGAAAGAGTGTCGCCGTATTCACTGATAGGTCGAAATGAGATAAAAAAAATCAGCTCCTTGGTGTTTTCACTTGCGCTTGTGTGAAAATCCATGGAAAAGATTGTTGTAATCCTGAATTGAACATCAGTGATATCTCTCTGTATGTCTTGATTTTTGATCCATTTGCAGCCTGTAGGATGTATGTGGATAGATATGTTTTTGGTTAGGATTTGGTAGAATAACACTGATATGTGCATCGAAGTCAACTAAAAATAAATACCTGGTATTTCTGTCATGCATGTAAAATAGACAACATCCTTGTCCCATTCCAGCAGCTAAGGCCATCTTTACTTGCTGCCAGAATAATCATTTTCCTAGTGTTGTGTAGAATTGTGGGCGGTCCTTGAATTAAAGTTGCATGGTCCCGTGCACTTCTTTGCCTCTTTTACAAACATATAATGATACCAACAGGTATCATAGGTAAGTAATTTCTTGGAGGATGAGTTTGACCTACTCTGATTTCTGTGCAGTGAGTAGGTTTGATTTTTGATGAGAATGCTGGAATTTTTGTTTTTGTACCAAACTCTGTATTTATATGGTAAGATTGGCTATATATTGATGTATCTGAGATAACTCTTCTGACCTGTTGCTGTAGTTGTTGATATATGTGATGTGGCATATACACTTTTGTCTTTGTTGTTGTTATGTATTTTGTCCACTATTTCTGATACTCTAACTCTAAAGCATGTGAGTATCTGTGTTGTGTGCCTAATTTTTTTAACACTGCTTTGAACATGGTATTGCCTCCTAATAATGATTGAATTTTCCTCAAAACCTGTGAAGATTTCATGTGTCCCAGATTCAAATTATAGATCATGTAAACTTCTCTCATACAATTTTCTGACATGCATAATGATTGCATTTTTCAATGTGTCATAAGGAGATTGACTACCTCTGTTGTCACGTCAGCAGGGTGTTTTTCAACAATGTAGTCATATTGTGAGCTTTACGATGTGATTTTCTTTGCATTAAAAATTGCATTTAATTGTAAAAACCAAATTGGTTCATTTACAGTTATCATGGCTTCCATAGATTTGGTGGTGTTTGTGACAATTTTCTACATCTTGGTGTTGTAGTTGTTATGTTTTTGCCATGACTTTGTGGGAGAATTTGTATCATTTAGGTATGTGGCTGAACATTCAGTCCATTTTATTGACGCCTTGTTCTTTCAAATAATAAGATTGCAAGTTCATCTCATGTCGGCTGGTCACCAGTTTGTGGGATCAGATTAAAAGTGAGAAATTAAAATCCAAGTGTTATGTCCACATATACAACATAACACTAAGAAATGATTTTTTTACATAGGAAAAAGTAAAAACAGAGTGAAATAATCATGTATTTATATACATATTAACATTTGTTTTTACATGGTAAACATTGTTTTTATTCTGGTTGTAAAAAAAAAAGTTCAAAAGATCAACAAAATTTTCCATTTGTTAAAGGGTAGTTCATAAAGTCTTGGTCAATATAAAGTGTGTATATATGTGCATGTGTCTGAAGCATGTTTTAACAGAGTGTATGAATGGTTGCTGACTGAATGTGTGAAGCACATTAGTAGAAACATATATGTGTCTGTGAGTGCTAATATGTGAAATCTGATTACAGTGGTTCCAAAAGGAATAGACAGACAGATAATAAAATTTACATTTTTACATGGCTATGAATATTCCTTTGAGTGGTATGTAGTTGACTGAGGTGTTGTCATGGTAATGAGAGAATTCTGGTTGGGTGTTTACAGATTCAACCACTTATCATCATCAGGTGATCACATATCCAGTCGCTGGCTAGGTCTTTGTGTTGTGTGTTTTTATTGCCCCCAAAATCAGTGTATATAAAGCTATCCTGATCATGTGATTGGCTCCAAATGAAAGCTTTTCAGTTTACGTGGGATAGCACCCAATGACCAGTTCATTTGGAGTTCAAACGTACAGATGTAGTTGGAAACATAGCACGTGACTGTACTGACCAATCAAAATCCAGAAACCACTTATTTAATATTGGATCCTATTATTTTTATTAATTTGTACAAAAGTTTTTGTTTTAGTGATTCTGATTCTATTTATGTGTGGGTGTTTCTTACTTATTTGTGCTTCACCTATTGGTTGTAAAATATAGGATTTTATATCTTATATAAGAGGATAACAGAGAATGTCATTGCCTATTTAAGGAAAACATGTGGATGTTATTGTAGACATTTGTGGCACGTGAAAATAGCATCGATAGCATTCTTGTATATTTGTGTTTGTTTTAAAATTTATTTTGAGTAGAGTGCAGCATGTGTGTGACTTAACTAAATGAAAACTGGTGTGTAGTTAGAGACATGTTTTGTAATATTTGTATAAATTTGGCTTTAATTTGTTATCTCTATGTGTAAATTGTGTTTTTCTGATACACTATAAAAAAAGTTGTTAAAGTCCTTTGTTCTTTGCGTTACAGAAAAGAGAAAACATTAATAGAACTGTTAGACTGCCTTGATAATTTTAGGAGCACAAGGGAAATCTTGTGCAATACCTATATTTTAATTTGTACTATTTGCATATAGGGAAAGATGTTTTTGTCATTGTAATAAAGGTGTATTTCTTTGCAAATTTCACACCAGAGTCAAATTCTTGTATTTTTTTTTTTCTGTTTGCACCATTCAAAATATTTGGAATACGAGATTTGACATTCTCTTCTCTTTTCTCCTAAATAAATCCTTTTAATATGCATCTAAGTTAGTTGTGTTACAAATGCTTATAAGTGTTTAGAAAATATTTTTTAAGATATGAAATATACAAAAAAGTATTGTTTATAAACTTGCATCAAAGAACAAACATAAAAGATTCTGTTGTGTGTGTGATAGAAGATAATGTCTTGTTAAGAGTAACTTAGAGTGATGTTGATATATTAATACCTGTTGACTAACAGAATTTGAAAATTATTATTTATTTTGGAGCCTGGTTCCCTTAATTTTACTGGTTGAAAAACATTGTTTGTTTTGGGCTGATTGATCAGATTTTAATTTAATGATTTTACTTTTTTCATCCTCCTTATTTTACAAAATTGATTTTTATTTATTTGCTGTTTCAAAGTGATGCCGATAAGACTGAAGAAGTTGAAACACAATTGTGTTTTACAGAAAGGCCTATCTTATAAGATATTGTTTAACTTATTATTTAACTTCATTGGAACATTTCCTCAGAGAAACCTTAACAATTTGCATTTTCCATGTTAGACACTCTTGAAAAATATTTTTCTTATATAAATATATCTTTTCTTAAGGTATAGTGTTTGTAAGATCTGATGGAATCAGTTATGAAAATGTTCATATATTTAAATAGAAGAAAGAGATAAATCAACAAACCCCAGTGAAATTTGTGATAGTGTGTGTTTCTCCCTCCATTTGTTTACTTTTCCATTGTGATATTTCATGCATTGCTTCGTCTTCTGAAAGAGAAAATAAACTGTTGAATTGTTTTGTTTTTTTTGTAATTCAAGTAACATTTGAGCATTTTCATATAGGAATTATTTTGTATATTCATTATCAAGACTTTTACTATTTCTAGAGTCAGAGCTGGCTTTAGATGAATTTGACCAATTTCACCCAATTGGGCCCTGCATACAAACAGGCCTTGCACTTGTAGTAACATTGCACAAATTATACAGTGTGTACAATATATATGGAAACAGCTATTTCAGAAAATATGTGTTCTTTTATTGGAAAATTTGTAAACTTAAGGAATCAGCACATATGCTAGGCCACAAAAATCTCCTGAGCTGACCAAGCATAGAAATGAATACAATATGGGAACCAGTAATAAGGAGTGCCAGAGAAAAGTGATAATAACAAAAAAAAAAAAAATTGCAATATAAGCTCTGGTAAGAAACATGCAATGATAACAATATGCAATATTGCAATATGAGCACTGGTAAAAATGATTGCTGAAGACATTATGTTTATAATACACCAGAAATTCATACACAGATGTCCTTGAGAACAAATGGCATAGTGGATAAAGGCGTTAGTTAGATCCAGTGACAGGACCCAAAGAGTGTGAGTTCAATACCTGTTTTAGGCAGATGATAACTGATAACTGACATCTATTAGACATGGCATGGAACTAGAACAGTCTACCCCAGTGAGTAAAATAAAGGGTTCAGTTCGACATTCCAATCACCTGAAGAAGGCTGGAGAATAAAATGGCTGAAATGTTGTAATAAATATGGTGACAAGATAAGGACAATAGTCTGAATAATGTAAATAGTGTACATAATACCTCATCTCAGAAATAAATAAAAGAATTAAAATAAAGTATTTACGCTTTCTTTTAAAACCCTTCTATCTATCTATCTTTCTCTCTCAACTAACAAGAAGGTAACCCTCAAATAAAAAAGACGAGGAAGAAGAAAAGACAACCTGTCCAAAAAATAGTGGAAATAGCTGGACCAAAGTCTAGCTATTTTTGACTAAATCTACCAAAAACCAGAGAGGGGCTCCATGCATAACTTCTGCTATATAAAAAAAAAAATGAAAAGAAAGGAATACTAGAAAATAAAATAATTTTGGTCAATCAAAAAGATTAACACAAAGAGACTTTTGATATTAGCTAAAACCAAGGTTCACTCCAGTACTCTGAGAGCTGGTCAAAAGGATATAAATTGACAGTCCTGAGCCAGATGAGGTCAAGGGACTGCCAGAGAAACTGGAACATGACCAACACCACCAGACCACCAGAGAAACCAGTCATGTGCAATGCATGAAGTCATTAAAATGTCGTCTGCTTAAGACATTTTTCTGCTCTTCTTAGAGCCAAAAAAGACAGTAGATTGATGCCAACCTACTTCTAAGATGACTACTACTATCATGTTCTGACTTCGAAACTACCCACTATTGAACTGAAACGAACTTCAAGACTTCTACTAAGATCTGTCTTATAAACAAATATCAAAAGAATCACTCTAATATAAATAAAATAAATATATATTATTTGTTTATACCTTATACAGTTGAATCAGTTCATTTTATTCCAAAGTTTCCAGTAAATAAATACTAAGAACATCCTGGCAAATATACACAGTTTTACCAGTTGAGTAAAACTGTAAGGGCACTTTGGTGATACAAATGCTACAGAAGATCCTTCTATTTCAAATATTACCAATGGGCCTTCAGAATTAACTGATGATCCTGCAACCTAGCCAAAAGTAACAAGACAATAATAAATGAAAGTGGAACAAGCTTTTCAAAATTTCCCTGCAAAGTGAAAACTCCTAAATGATGTAGTCACACACTGACCATGGCTATTATACTCAGTCTCAAAGTCTTTTTTTAATATTGTAAACCTTTTGGCTTTAATGCCACAGTTGCACTTGCAACTTCTGGTTTTAATAAATGGCTGAACAATGAAGATTTTAATAAATGGCTGATCCATGAAGATTTAACACAATATTCTGAATGCATATCAAACATAAGTTGTAATAATTCAGGCATTTAACCAGTTTATGCTGGATTGGCCCAATCATCATCAAAATGGGTGGAACTGAGACATCATCCTTAGGAGTCATAGGTAATCCATATAACTGAAGTGCAAAGGATCCACTAGCCTGACAACTTTATAAATACCAACTAGCAGTACCTTTTACTTTCACTAATTTGAGCAGACATTTCTGAAAATTAAGTTCAATAATTTTAGTTTTATCAAAAGACTCAACTCGCCCTAACTTGAATTATTTCTCATCATTCAATATCACCATCATCTTACTAATGTATTCAAAATAACCATTGCTGACCCTTTATCAGGCTTCATAATATCTAGATTTATTGTGACGTAATTATTGTAGAACACGAAACAATTTAAGCTGCTTTGGGAATTCAGTTTGAGCAAAAGGAGATAACTTTCTGAAACTCTGGAGTATAAAGTTTTTTCTTTTTATTCTTGAAGAACCAGATCTAAGTACCAACCAGATCTAAGTACCAACTAGACTTAATGCTTCTTAGCTTCAGTGTTCAAATGATAACCAGGGTTTTTAGCATGATTTGACCATAGGCCTATTATTTAGTTGCTTACCATACCTGGAGTTATCAAGCTTGATAACACCAGGTATGGTAAGCAACTTTCTACAATCCAAAATATGTTTCAGCTTTAAATAATCCACAAAACAGTTGGTAAGCCATAAAAAACAAATGCTGATCTTTGTTCTGGTGGACTTGTAAAATAACCAAATATTTTTTCAATTGATTGTCCAAATTTAACTCCATATCCCTGTCTCTTTGTTTCAGTCCATGCAGTTTCATGCAGATTTCATTTTTGTTTTTTTTCCGATATCTGATGACATTTCTTATAAAATAGTTTCCATTGTGCCTTGGAAAATCCTCAGCACAGATTTTAAGCTAAAACATAAACAATTATACACAATCTTTTAAGAGCATTGATAATTGCAAATTTCCAGGGTTCATTGTCCAGCAGTAACTGTTGATAAGTTTGACTGAGATTTAACTTGATGTAAGATTCAACTTCTAAGTTGTATAGAGGACATTAGTCTTGGAAATAGGGTAATTATCTAGTTTGATCACAGGATTTTTAGTTACCTTCTCATCTCTACACTTCATGGCAGTTTTATCTGGCTTAAGAATATGTACAATGTGTAGCTTATTCTGAAAATTCTATTGATGAAATTGCTACTTATTCCTGTAGCCTTTCAAGATCTCTTTTCAATTTTTTGTTCTCAGCATATATAGTACTGGTTGAGGTTTGTAATACTTAGGTTTAGCCTCTGGGTTTATGTACAGATTTGCACAAATCTAATCTTTTAACAAAAATATTCTGATACTTGGACAGTAATGCTTCCTGGAAAGAATGCACTCTAAAATGTCTTGTCAAGACAATTTTAGGTGCTTCAACCAATTTCGACTGAGAAGTGTTGGTGAATTTCCTTCTACCACAATGAGTAGTAATTTAGCTTGATAGTTCTCTAAGTGAACAGGCACAGGAATTTGTCTTTTCATTGGAAAATCATCTCTAGCATAGGATATTAGCTTTATCTAAAGAATTGTAAGGGTACTCTGAGTAAATAATTATAAACCCCCTAACATTTATATATACAAAAATACTCATAACAATGAGAAGCAACATTACATGGAAAAAATAAAACAAGTATTATTTATTATCTGGTTCTTATGTGGTGTTGGAGAAATGAGAAACAGTGAGTAAAATTGTGAGTTTGGGGTTAAATGTAGATCAGAATCTGACAGAATGATAAGATAAAGAATAAATAAAAGGCATAAAGTTTTTCTCATATGTTCTTATTAGATGTGTGTAATGAGTGTCCAGATAATTTAGTTAGAAAACACAAAAAATGTCTAGTTTTCTTACCTCAAATTTTTGTTGAGTGCTAAATTTTTGTTGAGTGTTAATATTTATGGCCCAAAAAGGAAAAGGAGACAAAATTTTTGTTGATGCACATGTTAATGACCTGTCCGTGTAAACTGCTTTTCTGATAGGGAGAATGTCACATGTGTGTGTAAAGGAGAAAAGTAGGGTCAATTCTCATTGGTTTAGAATGAAAGAATTAATGATAATTATAATTGTTATAATTATTTTAATTTAATTATTTTTTGACACAATAAATCATTTTTATACTTTTTTTTTGAACACGACAGAATCCAAAAAATTGTCTTTTTTAATTTGGTTCCATGCCCGAAGCCCCATAACTAAAACTGAAGCTCCTGTATCTATTTCTATGGACACAATATCATTATTTTTACACCCAGGTAATAGAGATTAATTTTCTCTATGGTATGAATTTTATATATAATATAAAAGTTGTACACTTCTTTTGAAATTTTGGAATCACTGTCCAATTCTACTTGGACAGGAATGTTTTCCTTTGTGTTTACTCCATGATATTTCTTGTGGATTTTAACTGAAAATATTTTCTAGATATATGTCTATGGTGTTTACAATAATATCATGTAGTGAAATGGAATTTTCACTTACTTGGGTTATGTGATGCACTACTTCTATTACAATCATCATCTTCTTCTTTTGACACATGAGGTTAAGGCTTTAAAGCTTGTTCATGTTTCATATTTGGATGTCCAGTAATTTTTTTTATTTTACACCAATTCTATGCTTATAGAGATATTAAAAGCTTCTTGAAATGTTATGTCGTTTTCAGCCAGCAATCCCATTAGCATTCATTTCAATGAAAAAATTTATCTCTTATCTAGAAAGGCACTAAATTGACAATCTTCAATTAATATAGAGTTTTGCTACAAAATCTTATATAAATTCTCCCATATGTTAATTTCTTGTGTAGAATTTTAACCCCTGTACGATAATCAACAATTTCAGGTTATAATATATTTTCATGAAATTGATTAATTCCTTGTATGTATAATTTGAGCTTATATGAATTGAAAAGACTCAACATACATTTGTATACTTTGATCCCACACATACTGAGGACAATACTTATTAGTTTCCATATTCCTGCTTTATCATTCAGTATGTTGTTTGCCTAAAAAATAACTGTTTTTCATGATACTACTCTCAAGACTCACTTAAACTGTCAAAGGCATCTAAATAATTGTAGAATACCATTTTGTTCAATATTCTATTATCTCGTCACCAAATTTGTAATAGATTGGGTAAAAACGAGGGCTTTATTTACAACATAGAGTATAGTGATTAAAATGGAATTGTGGATAACTAAGTTCAAGTGGTTCCATGTGGATAACTATGTTCAAGTGGTTCATTACACTCATACTGATTTATAACTAGTGTTACGACCCACCCCCTGTCATCTAACCGGATCGATACTGGAGATAGAGGAGGATCACAACCGGTATTATTATTTTAATGTGTATGCAATTATTTCAACAACTTCTTTTTTTCCCAAGGGTCTCTTTCCGATTGATCAGACATGGTTGAGTGGAGTGAAATTGCTTAAAGAACACACACAGCGGGTGACAAATAACAGAGACACAAATTTAGAGTTTTAACAATTAAATAAATTTATTACAATAGGAAAACGAAAAGAAATTGCACAAGTGTCTCTTTTTGAAGTCTTTTCTCTCTTTCTCTTTTCTTTTGATGTTTTTTCTTCTTTCTTTTTCTCGTTTTCGGTCTAGTTGCTTGAGTGAAGAATCAATCGGAGCTGTATATCTCTCTTCAGGTTTTGACACAACTTCTCTCCTCTCATGCCAAAGTTTACTTTCTTCTCTGGGTAAACCTCGTTAAAGCTGTTTGAGTTCTGAAATCATATTGGATTTCTCTTCCTTTCGCATACATGAATTTATAGCGAATTATCACATATATTGCGGACTCGTCGCTTGGCTCAGATGCTGAAGCAAGACTGAGCCTTTTTGCTGTTTGTTTTTTTTTTTCACGTCTTTGTTTCATCATGTTGTCATTTATCTGCAAATATGAACTTTTTTCCTGTGTAAGTGAAAAGAGGTCACTGACCCTTTCTTTCACCTTTCTCTTTTTCACCATCTGGATATCATCCAGTTAAATCATGTCGTACGTGATTAAGAGAGAAATAAATATGTACAGTCTTTAATCACATGTATGCCAGTTTGTTTAAAATGTGTCAACATTTAATTTTACTTTATCTCTCTTTTTTTTCTATCATTACATTTTCTGAGAGTACTGACCTTTTATTTAGAATGCTTCTAAAATATACACATGGATACAGATTTTAGGAGGGGCTTAGATGAGAGTCCGTAAACTAGTGTCAGTTTGAATTTATGGGATATCCATTCATTTACAAAAATTATGTAGTAATAAAAGTGGATTTTTAAAATTTATAACTTTTATTTGTAACTTTTTATTATATTACCAAACCTTTAAAATATTATAATTGTAATTTGGCATATCAGAGTAAATTTGAAATTTAATTCATTTGCCCAAGACTAGTGTTTTTATAACTTAAACAGTACCAGGCTTTGATCACTTTAAACTATTAAATTTCTAATAATTACTAACATAAAAATTGATGCTTTGTGTCTTCTGTAGATAAAACATGGGCTCCACTGGAATAATTTCCATACCAAATTATGATACATTCAGCTTTCAAGGGTGATCACATTTTGGTCAATCTGAAATACTTTCTCCTTCAAACTTCAAGAAAATTTCTGAAATGCCACTATATGTAGTGAATAAATTGAGAAAATCAAATTGAGGTCGCTGAAAACTTTTGCAAGTACATTGGGGTGGGGGGCATCTCAAATCCCCTTTCATTTAGAACCCCTGATGCCACAAAATATAATCACGTATGGAAATGACTCAAATACAACCAGTATTTCATCTGTAGAAAATATGATGTGAAACATCCACTTACAAGCTGACAATTATTAGAAATTTATACTATTTTAAAGTGACTGAAGACTTTTAAATAGTACACTGTTGTAATATAGCAATAATAGACCAAAAATGAAAATATAGTTACTTCTTTGTATGTAACTAAAATTAAAGAAAATGACTGAATTTTTAATTTTCTAAAATTGGATTCAGTATCTATTAATCTTCTATTTTTATTAACAATTGTGATAAACTAAGCTAAATTAGAAATCTTAAAAATATGGAAAAGAACTTACTGTTCAAATCAGGTGTCATTGTTGTACTTATTAAAGACAGAATTATTTTCCTATAGTCTCCCGAGAGATCACCCTGAAAAAGAAAATGCAGCCATATGAATTAGATGGTATAAACCAGGTTATAGGCAAGTAATTCTATAAATATGCACATATTGTACATACCTACAATAAGCTATTATCTGAAAAACTAATATTTTGCCAAATTAAGATGAAGGTAACATTAGTATTTTCAATCATATAAATAACTGAATGTAGTATATCTAATATAGTCACTATACATGTGAGAGTATCTTCTCATATGAGGTCTCATTTAATTAAGTTTTGAGCAGTGAATGAATCTGGGTCTGGTCCAACTATAAAACATGGAAAAATTTTAGTTATGATTTGGGGAACACTTTAGAATACGTTTTGTGTAAAGTATACCAATTCAAAAAATCCATATCTATTTTGCAGGAAGAACTACTACTAGTATTCACTGATAAATCCAAAAATGTATTTTGATTCACTGTGGTTAATGTAGTTTCCTCATATTGAACATATGAAGGTCATTTTAGATTACAAAACAAGAAGAAATATTTTGAAAACCTCTACAAAAGTTTTGTTTTCCGTTTTAAATGTTTGGTTAGAAAATTTAACACCTGAAGTAGTCAAAACTTTAAATTCTGCTAAAGGCCAATATTAATTTGCATAAAAGTAAACTGAATTGATAAAAAGGCTCTTGCTTGAAATTAGAAGGCTCTATTTATTTTTATCATGTTTCTGTAGATATTCAACTTTACTTACAGCTATGTAGTCTTCTAATTGCTGGTTTGTTATATTAAAGAATTCTTCTTGGATTTGTACCAAGTCTATTTCACATCGGGATACTATAATACGGATTACTGAATTGTCATCTGTTCCAACACCTTTCATTGCCTTCTGCAGTTGTTGAGCAAAATAGTTGGCTTTATTTTTTACACAGCAAACTGGAAAATAGTAAATAATAGTTTTCTAATAAAACAAAAATGTTGATCTTCAAAAATCAGTATTCTGCATATTGTAGCGACAGTGTTACCAATATTTAACTTTGGCTAGGAAAGGTGGGATTAATGCATGCATGGACGCAATGCAATTTATATTTGATGTAAATAGCACATAGTATAAAATACAAAACTGAATGAAATGATTTCAAAATATAACAATTGAATTTATTAATGTTTGGTGTACAAGTATAAGAGCTGAAGGTGTGATAGAGTTATGTCTCTTAGATTTGGAAATATTTGTATTTGAGCTCATAAAGTGAAAGTAATTATTAAACTGTAGTTTCGAAGAATAAAGTTTCTTTAGCATGTTTGGAATTGTGTATTGTACAAGTTGGTAAAAGTTCAGAAGAGATTTCAGAGTTTGTACTTGCATGAATGTTGGTAATGGTCTTTAACGTCTGACCGCAAAGGTTAAGATGGGAGTTCTTGAAGATTACATCTTGGCAGTAAGGAGAAAGATGAATGAAAAGAAACACGAGGGAGCTTACACGTGTTCTGTTTTTATAATTTTGTTGTACCACGTGGGAGGCTCAGAACGAAAATGCGGGAAAACAGATTTGTCACATGCAGGCGGTTTGATTGGTCGGAACTGACCAATCAGCAAGCTAGATTGAAGGTGATTAATGCTTGTTATATATTTTGTAAGATTGTGATGGTGAAAATCACAACAGGAATAGTGCATTTCCTAGCAGGGGTTAACTGGCTTGTTGTGGAAGATTCCATAATATCATTTAAAGCAGATCAAAGAATAAGTAACCGAAACAGGTTAGAAAGAAGAAAACTTAAGTAAGATAAGTAAATAAATGAAAGCTAAATCAAGGATAAACTTGAGCTTGATATAACAAAGAAAATAGATGAAATCATAATAAAAAATATTTCTTTTACCTATAGTAAGCATTCCATGAAGAAAATCACCTGAGAGTTCACTCTTTAAAACTTCTTCAATGTTTTTCTTGGATATTTTGGCATATTCTTGAAATATTGCTCTCAGTTGAGGAAAACTGCGTGTGACCAGAATTGTATGAAACTTTGACTCATCTGTTCCCCATTTTTTCTCTCCAGCTTCATACAAAGCTTTAGCATCTTGATAAGCTTGATTTTTGTTGATTTCTTTACTTTCACTTCTATTAGCTGAAACCATAGAAACTAGAAGGCGCTTGAGGTGACCAGATGTCTCTGATACAATGTCTTTTTCAAGATCTCTATTGAAAACTGAAACAAATATAAACTTAAATAGTTGAATTACAATCATTTCTATTCATTTCAGCTAGTGATTTGTTGTTCAAATAAAAATTAGGAAATTTGTGATAGTTTTAATTTTTGATAAAATGAAAAACTGAAAATGTCTTAGATTTTCTAATTTACAAACTGGATATTTAAAACAGACAAAAGAAATATTAAAAATTATAGGGAAACTCTGTAAATTTACAAGAAAAATCTAAATACAAGCTTTTATTTTAAAAATTATTTCACTGTCTGTCAAAGTGTAACTTATCTTATTGATGTACTCTTTTTCTCAAGAAAAAATAAATGTATTATTTATTCAGAACTCTAGGAGCTTTTGGACTTGATAGATATGAGAATATGCCTTGTCAAAAATCTGAGAAAATAAAGTGGCATGTAGTACAAGGGATACTTGTCACATGATAAGATTGTAGATACAGTTACAATTTTGTAAATAAATAGTAGATACAGTTACAATTTTGATCAAATATTGAAAATAATACTGTAATTTACTGTACCCACTTGTGATTATGCAGGTTAAATATGTTATCTTTTGATTTTCTGATCCTGTTTTGACCTCATTATGAAATTAAATCTGAACACATGTTTTATGGTTGCATTTCACAAAATTTTAGATTTGCAAAATATTATTTATTTGAGGTGTTTAATATCCAAAACTGAAGAAGTTCAAATACAAGATATATCATTTCTAAAATTATCTGTTATTTAATTTTGTGTCATATCCTGGATAGATAAGATCAATATAAACTCTATTAAGGGATTTGGCTGGTGAATGATTTAATATAAATCAGGGTATTACTTTTCTTTCTGGGCAGTATACATTTTAGAGAAAATAAATATGATATTGAAAAATTTGTCATTTTTCAAATTTGTTTTAATGTCAATGTTAAAATTCAGCATCATCGATAACTTTATAATTTTCTTTCTAAATTTATTACAACCCCTGAGAACCATTAGGCCAACATCCTAATGTAACCCTGCATATAGATTTAGAAAACAACTGTCATACTGTAGTTATGTTCTTTGACTTGCCAAAGTAAAGTCCATAGTTGAATTTCCAACATAACAGAAGTGGCAAGAGTCTTAGGTATGATCAAGTACGTTGCTAGATACACCACAAATGTGTTACAATGAACTTTTCACATGTGGAGCCTACAAAAAGCCAATGTAGTGTTTAGAACACAAGATAGAATTTAATAGTAAAAAGTTACTATCCTCACAGCCAATCCTACAATTTTACAACCCTCGGCTACTGATCCAGACATCATGCAATGCAAGCAAGAAGAGAATGGGTGCAGTATTGGAACAACAACATGAAGAATAGCTACCAGTTGCATATGCATCACATGCAATCACAGACACACAAAGCAGATATGCTCTGATTGAGCAGGAAGCATTAGGTTTACAATTTGCATGTGAAAGATTCCATCAGTATGAAAAAAAAAAAACTGTGCAAATCCAGACAGACCACAAGCGTCTAGTAACAATATCCCAAAAGGCTCTGAATAACTGGCTACCTCGATTGCATCACATATGACTCAGAGTTCAGAGATAGGATCTGCAGATAAGCTACATACCAGGAGACATGTTAGAAAACAACATAGAAGTTTAGATTGTTGCTGTATTAAAATATGTTCCTAAAATGGAGGAAATCTGAGTAGTCACATTAGATGACCCTATGATGTAAACCTCAAAAACATACATCACCGATGAATGACCAGCAAGTGTCAAAAAATGCCAAGTAGAAATTGCACCATACTCTAACCATTGAGCAAAGGCGAACACATGGTTATCCCTCTTGGCTTGAGGACACAGATCCTTGAGAACATGTATACAATGGCCATCAAGGCCAAGAAATGTGCAAACGACTAGCAAGGATACCATTTTTTTGGCCTGGCATGAACAAAGAAATGGATTATATCATCCAGAATTGCAACATCTGTCAAGCATATAAAGATGTGCAGCAGAAACAGCTACTCTTAAGTCAGGAAGTACCCACATAGCTAGCAGCAGATCTGTGCCATCACAACAACAGGGACTATCTCATTGTAGTGGACGCATACTCCAATTATCTGAACATATACAAAATACTATCACAGAACAGTGGAGCTGTGATTAAAGCTATGCAACACAGCTTTAGCAGATATGAAATTCCACAAGAAGTATTCATGGACAATGGCCCATGTTTTATGTCAGCAGAATACTGACAATACCAGTGTCAAAAAGATTCTATAGAAATGCAGGGACCCGTTGTTTGGACACTTAATCCACTGCAGGCATGGCAGGCAATGATGGACCATCAGCTGCAAAAATGTTGATGAGGAGAAAGCTAAGATGCATCCTACCTACAACAAATACACAAAAAAGTGGACCTTTGCCTTCTGAGTGGAAGGCAAAGGTCCAAGTAAGAGCCAGAAAAAATAGTACTTTGAGAGTTCAGGAGCTAAAAAGCCTAAAACCAGAGATGCAGTTCATATCTTAAACCCTGTGCATAACAGGTGGAATGAATTGAGCATAGTACAAGCAGAAATAGCACCCAGACCATTCACTGTTCTGGCTCAAACAGAACCCATCCTTTGAAAGAACAGAAAGAACTTACTAAATGCCATACAAATCAAGACTTTCATGGTTTCCACCACCACCAGACACAGATGACGTTGACAAAAAACAAAATCAGCAAGTAGTGCCTGAACCAATATCAGCACACCTAAGTGAACAGACCCACAAAATAGTATCTGAGCAACAACAAAAAATGAAAACTGCATCAGAACTGCAACGTTCAAGTCATAAGTTAAAACCACCAAACAGGTTAGAGTTATAAACCACTCTGTGAATTAGTGAACTGTTATTTTTCTCTGCAGGAACTCTGGTTATTTCCACATATTTTACTACACATATATGTACATATTTTATTCTCTTTTTCTTTTGTCTTTGTTGTGACTGATGTAGTGTGAAATAAAAATATGAGAGCTCACTGCAAGATGCAGACACTGTACACACTTTTGAACATGTGAACTTGGGATAAACAACTGTCAAACAGTTTCATTCTTAAACAACCCATGTGTAAATATTATAATACCAGATTAGATATTTCTTATAATAAAAATTGTGTTATAAATGTAATATTAAAAACAGAAGCTCTTTGTAATAAGTTTTAGTTGAGTTCAATAGCCACATTTTCACAACCTACATATATAAAAAAACATAAGTTTTAAATTGATTAATATATATATATATATATATATATATATATGAAGAAATATAGTCTTATGATGTGCCACATTTATGGGATAAAGTGCTCAATATCAGAGATAGAGCGTGTGTAAATATATATATATATATATATATATATATATATATATATATATATATATATATATATATATATATATATATATATTTCATAATTTTCTGTGGGTACAAAATTTTTATTATAGAAGTAAAAATGGTAAGACCAATTTTACTCTTCATGATAAAAAAAAAATCAAACAAATGCAGCTAACGGGTTTCACCCTCACTCAATATAGCTGAAATCAAGGGATTATATATCACAATACAAAGTATAAAGCATAAATAATATACAATATTAAAGGTGGAATACAATGTAGATTGAAATTACGTCAAGTCCTAACAGACACTCCCTCTCTTTACAGAGGGTGGGCTGTCTGGACTGGACCTAAGTTGTTTCCAACAGCTTCAACTGAAAAAGTGAATGAGCAAGACTCAACATAGTAAAAGAGTCAGTGCTGAAATTGATGGCACAATTTGGGCTTTTAATGAAGTGCTCCGTAATGGCAGAATCATACATCCCTTAATTGGAATGTTCCATTCCTAATTTTTTTAGGTACATGTTGATGCATTCTAGTATCTAGACATAGGGTAGTCAGCACTGTGATTACATTTAAACTGGTAAATAACATTATTAATATAGTGGGGGTGTAACACATCCTTCAGAGTAGACGTCCATGCAGACCTAAAGTAAAACACAACATGTACATTCAACGAGAAATAACAACGCTAAACTAAACCAAATATGGTTAATAAATATCCAATTTATTTTCATTTGCCTTGGATGGGCACAGTAAGTGAAAAATTTGCAAAACAAATTAGCTCTGCAGTAGAGCATTGCTATATATTACACTGAAAACATGTCAAAATTGGTACACAATTGCAATCATGTTTCAATGCATATCAGTGCATCTCATCAGGTGATTGTAAATTACTGGCAAGTGAACAATTTATTTCTCATCTTACCTGCCTATATATATATATATATATATATATATATATATATATATATATATACTTGCCGAATTATCCACATCTTGCTGTGAGTCACACATTTTTTTTAAAAAAACGATGATTGATTTTAAATCCTTGTTATAATTTGTAGAGAAAAAATTATGCATTTCAATACTACTCAATGATCTTGCCAATGTGATCTCCATCTTCTGGCTTTCTCCTTCTATATTTTGGATAGGAGTCATTCCCTTACTCAAATTTAAATTTAATTTAAATCAAAGGAAAGACATTTCACTTATGGGTTTGTGCAAAAAAAAAAAAACAGAAAGAAACAGTTTGATCTGACCTCTTTGATATGTATTTGATGTAATACTTGATTGAATGAATTGATGAGTAGATTTCAACATTGAAATGACAGTTGAATTGATTGCAACAAATATGTATTGTAAGGCACTACCCACTGATTGGTGATTTCTTGCTCAACTTGATTTCCATATTGTCTCATTTTGATCTTGCCAGTGTGACCTCCATCTTCTGGCATTCTCTTACTATATTTTGGATAGAAATTTCTTCAAATTTAATTTAAATCAATGGGAAAAAAAATTCAGTGGGGGTTTTGAGCACCCGACTCCCAGGCATCCCCTTTGATCTAAATGAAACATACTTATTCAAGTACCCAGAGTAATGTAGTTTCAGAATATATATGGTTATGGGAGTCCATCTCCAAAACCCTAATAGAAGTTTGATAACAAACAAACAGACAGAGAGAGGCTACAACTTTATATATAGAGAGAGATAGATAGATAGAAAGAGGGAGAGATACATACATAAATACATACAAGTAATGTAAAAATTTACTTACTTTCATGGTATGTGAATACTATCTGTTTAATTTGTTCATTTGACCGTGTACACAAAACCTCTATCAAAACACTTTCATCAGTTCCAAAATGCTAAAATTAAACATTTATTTAGTGTTTGTAGTAGATATAATTGCCATTTTGTTAATCAATAAGGCATTTCACATAAGTTGGTATATTTATAAAACAACTGAAATCCATAATATATGTCATATTTCTATGTTCATGCTCTTTAAATTTGTTAATATTGTTTAATATCCATCAATTTATAAATGTAAAATTTAACTTTTATTCAGTTAAAGTAGATTTGAAAAAATACTTTATAAAAATCTTATGTAGCAGTAGAAAAGGTTGAAAATAAAAACAAATATTTTTGGAAGGTTAATAACTTCCAAAAAATAATCTATCTATATCAGTTTTTTTAGTTCAATCAAATTTCTTTTCTGAACCCTTAACTAATTTTTTCAAGTTGTTGAAAGCTGATACTCGTTACTGGTTTAAACCCTTAATTAATTTTCTGTACACGTATAATTTTAAAAACAATGGCTCTTTTACCTTCATAGCATTATGCAATTGTTCTGCATCAAATTCTGCTGGTTTCATACAGAGGGATTTTACACATTCTTTCAAATTTCCACTAAGTTCTCCTTTTAACTCTTTAATAAGATCCTGAAAAGAAATCCAGAAAAATACTGTTCTCATTTCAAATATACATAAATAAATACAAATTTTTCACCAATTTAGCAAATTAACTTCCCTTTAAAAAATGTAGACATGTACAGATGAAGTAGTTGGTAAATTTTTTTCTGTTACTGGTAGGAAAACTAATCTTTCAATACTCACTAATCGTTTATTGTTGTAGCTTGTGTTTTCAAGATAACAGAGTGAAATAAATAAAGATGACAAACTCGTAGGTAAGTAATGAAAAAGAAGGTTTACTACACGAAGGTACACTTATAGCAATTGACCTAATCCTAACTCTGCTCAACTTCACTTCACGATTCCATTCATTTATGTCCTATATGACATCTTCCCCTTTTGAGATTTACCTCCCTTGGGAGTCATACCTTTCACATTTAGGGTTTATCTCTAACCTCTCTGGGGTTTGCTGTTTTCTTTTCATGGATCATCATGTTTCTGGAGCTGTTTGGGGAATGGGTGCATCAAACACGTTGAAGAAAGCATCCATAGGTTCTTCATTGCTACTTTCTTCATTGATGTATCTTTTCCTTATTTAGTTTAAATGCCTTTTATGCACCCAATTTGCACCCTTAATTAGGTATAATAAATTTCCAATGTTTTCAATAACACTGCTCTCCCAATGTTCTTTCCTATTTCTATATATGTGGAAATAAACTTTTTCTCTACTTTTGAAGAATTTGTTATAATTATTTGATCTGATTCCATTTTTTCAGCTTTCTTTGTATTTTGCAGCAACTTGTCAAAAAATAGACCTTATCTTCCTTCCAGAAATTATAAGTTCTGTGGGAGACATCCCAGAAACTGCGTTTACCCGATATACTTGCAAAAATTGCTGTATTGCTGCTCCCATTATATCACCATCAACCTTTTTTAAAGCCCTTTTGAAATTATCTACAAATCTTTCTGCCATTCCATTACTTTTTGGGTGGTTTTTACGTGCTCTACTGCGAAAAGTTTGCAAAATTTCTGGATCTCTTTCGATGTGAACTGGCGGCTTCCATTATCTGATACAATGCAATCGACCACACCAAACCTGGTGAAATATCAGTGGTTGATATCTTGCATTTTAAAATTTCTGGCCATGACAATGAGGTAATACATTGATCCAGGAAAATCAACGTGTATACGTGACCACGGTGTGTTAGTTTTTGGCCATGGATTAAATTTAACAGGTGGTGATTTCACTGCTAAAGCATACCCTTTACACAAGTTTATCATTTTTACAATGTCTTTATCCATGTTAAGCTAATATACGTAACTATGCATTAATGACATCATCCTGGATATTCCTAGATGACCTGTGTGGAATTCTTCTAAAATTCTTTTCTGCAATGATGTAGGCACCACAACACTTTCACTGTGCATCAGCACTTCATTACAGGTAGAAAAATACACTATTTGATTTAATTTTAGCTTTTAATTTTTCTTTTACTTCCTTGATGAAAATATCATTAAGCGCTTTTGCCTTAATTTCCTCCAGTGTTACTGGCAGGCCACATATCATATTTTAACTTTGTTCTCCACTTGCAAAGCTGTAATTACCGTATCCTTGAGAGGTTCACAGAATTTAGGAATCAACCTTGAAAGGACATCAGCATGACTTAGGTTTTTTGATGGTACAAACTCCATTTAAAAATTATAATTGAGTAAAATTTAAAAATTATAATTGAGTAAGATGGTACCCCATCATTGTAGTTGATTCACTGTATGTGTCGGCAATCCTTTTTTAGATCTGTAAATCAATAATAGTGGTCTCTGTGCAGAGTAAATCTTTTCCCGTGGATAAATCTGTGAAATATACGAAGACTTTCCTTCTCAATCTTACTATAGTTCTTTTCTGCTGGTAAAAGTGTCCTTGAAGCATGAGTTATCACTTTTAATGAACCATCCTTATTTTCATGCAAAATAGACGCTCCAATACCGAACGAACTGGGATCGCTAGTTACCATTATTTCACGTTTAGGATCAAAATGCTTCACAAACAATTCCAATGTCAATATGTCTTATTTTTTTTAATGATTTTTGACATTCATTCATCCAAATACATTTGGTGTCTTTCTTTAGTAGGTCATTCATTGGTTTTCGCAAAAATGCATATTATGATAATTGGCTAAGCCTAGAAAACTTGCAGAGAACTTATTTTCTGGAGCGGGCATATTCTTAATAGCACTTGTTCTGCCTGGGCCTGGCTTCCTAGCATTTTCATCTATGATCTAACCCAAATACTTTATTTTTGTCGAAAAACAAAAAAACAAAAAACAAAAACACAATAACTCATTTTTTGCCTTTCAGTTTAAATCCATATTCACTTAAATCATTTGAATACTTCCAATACGTGCCGTCTGTGTTCTTTATTTTTACTTTTTATCAAAATGTTGTCCAAATAATCAAATTCAAGTTCATTTAACATGGTTCCCATTACGTTAAAAAATTCCGGGGCAACCTTAATCCCAAGAGTTAATGTATTAAATCTGTAGAGTCCCTATGAGTATTAATGGTTAGGAGTTTGAACATTCGTCATCTACCAGAATTTGCAGATACGCATCGCTTAAATCAAGATTTGAGAACATTTTTCTGTTATTGAGCCTTGCAAAAATCTCTTCTTGTCTAAGTAGAGGATAATTTATTAAGAGCATCATCAGTGGAAAAATCTGTGCATACGCATATCTCTTTGGACCTCTTTTTAATATAAACTGCAGGGAAGGCCTAGTTGCTGTATTCAACTTTCGATATTACACCTATATTTTCCAGACGATATAAATCATTATTTATCTGGCTCAATGCGACAAAAGGCACTTTTCTTTTGGGCAGGACACAGGAACGACGTTATCTTTTAATTCAAACTTGGCAAACATTTTTGTACATCTTCCTAAACACCCAGAAAACATTTCTGGAAATTTATTTTTTAGTTCTTTTTTAAGTTATCCTGCGTCATCAGGAAAACACTATTTTTTTCCACAAAAAGAATGTATTGGTACATCACAAAGATAAAATTTTTCCATCCAGTCAATACCAAATGAATTTGGATTTTTCATAACGAATTTCTTTACTGTTTCTGTTTTGCCATTGAAACTTAGGTTTGAAAAAAAAAACTCCTTCAAAAGTCACTTTTTGTTTCACCATACGCAACTTTCTTTGTCCAAAATAAAGTGGGTTTACCGATTTTTTTTTACAAAGTGTATTTGTTAATTTTATTCACATCGGCTCCTGTGTCAAGTTGAAATTCATCATTTTTGTTAAGCATTTTTACTTGCATGTATTTTCTTGTCTGTCGATTTTATTTGTACTTGCCCTATTCACTGAACATTTACTTTTAAAAAAAAATTTCCTTTGCAATGTGAACTTTGTGACCAATTTTATCACATTTGGAACATTTTTGTAGGGACAATCCCTTCTAAAATGTAACTCTCCACATGCAAAGCGGGGATTAGGGGTCGAATTTTTTTTTCTTCTCGTATCATTTTCCACGAAGATGTTGAATGTGTGATACGCCATTTTGTTCGATATCTTTCGAATCCTGTCGAAGATTAATAATTTGTTAACATTCTTCCGCTATCTGTTGGAGGGTTAAACTAGGTTCGTATTCTAGTCTATTCAATATTCTTCGTCTTATTTCATCATCTTTTGCTGATGTCAATCCCTGAATGAAAATTAAACACTTGAAATTATCTGCTGATAATTCAGACAATTTAACATTCTCTCGTTCACAATGTTTGCAAAAGTAGTAAAATCATGTTAATTCTTTTTTATGAGATTCATACATTTCCACCGTCTGTGGAACAAAGATGCCTTTTAGTTAAATATTTCCAACAACGACGAAACAGTATTATTAAAAACTCTACCAGGTTTCTTTGGTAATATATAATTTACGAATTTCGTATATTCTACTGGACCCAATTTTCTAAGCAGCAACAAACTTGTTTTCATCAGTCCAACCACAACAATCATTTTCAAATATATCAGTGTATCTACGAAAATACACTGAAAATATTAATCGTTCTTCCGGGTCATATACGAACTCAGATATTGCACTCACGATGTCATCCCGTGAAAACTGTTGTATTCGAATTCTTGTCACCAACTGTTGTATCTCGTGTTTTTGAGATAACAGGGTGAAATAAACAAGGAAGAAAAACTTGTAAATAATTAATGAAAAAGAAGGCTTAACACAAAGGTACACATAGCAATTGGCCTAATAATCTTAACTCAGCTCAACTCCACTTATTTATATTAACGCACGATTCCATTCATTTATGTCCTATATGACTGTGGTAACTACCACCACCATTACATACACACAGTACATGCGACAAGCATTTATTGGTTAATCTACTCAAAACTAGCTCGCTGATTGGTCAGTTCCAACTAATCAAACCACCTGCACGCGACAAATCTGTTTTCCCACTCAATATGCTCTGAGCCGGTCACGTGATACAAAATACGAGTGGTTCTCTCTCTCTTTCGTCACTCTCGCGTCTCAAACCTTTGCTGCCAAAATGTAATCTTCAAGAACTCCCGTCTTGATCATGCGGTCAGACGTTAAAGAACATTACCATTTCACGCAAGTACGAACTCTAAAATCTCTTCTGAACTTTTACCAACTTTAACAATCCACAATTCCTAACATGCAACAGGAACTTATTCTTCTAAACTACAGTTTAATAATTAATTCACTTTATGAGCTCAGGTGCAAATATTTCCAAATCTAAGAGACATAACTCTATCAAACCTTCAGCTTATATGCATGTACACCAAACACTAATAAATTCAATTGTTATGTTTTGAATCATTACATTCTGTTTTGTATTTTATACTATGTGCTATTTTATGTCAAATATAAATTGCATTGTGACTGCCACATTGGATAGCGACCTCCAGCATCTTTGATTTCCTTAATCATGCCTTTCCTAGATATATTCAAGATAAATATATGTAGTACACACCCCTACATAATGGTGACAATTCACTACATGACATTTATAAAAAAATATTTTTGTGAAATCTATTAATTTGGAGAACAATATTGAATGTTTTTTTGTTGATGAAGCAGTAGTTGATTTTTTTGTTTTGCTTTGTTATTAGATATGAAGAATCTCACTGGGGACTCTAATTTAAAAATTATAGATGGGGCCAGTAAAACAGATTTAAAATGCCTTTCTCTTTCCTATCTAGTAAGTACTTATTTATGTTAGTTGGGTTGCTTTAAACAATTTGTAAAATACAAATATATATATGCGTGTGTGTCTGATTAAATAAATTACAGACATTATGTCTGCTAATTTTTAATCCGTTCATACTCACGAATAATCTTCCGTGTATTGATGTTAGTTAAAGGATGAGAGAAATGTGCTATAGCTGTTTAAATTTCTTTTATTTTCATTTTCCAAGTACTTTCGATCTCCTCCTAAGATCATTTTCAGGGGTGCAAGTAATTCAAAACTATATGTTGTTCATTAGTACAAGTATTTATACAAAGCTGTGCTTCCTTATCCATTACCGTAATTTTATCATTACGGTTTCAAATGCAAAATGGTTGACAATGTGCATTAGAACATGAAAAAATTATCCATTATAGAATTTTTTTTCCATGTTATAATGCCATGGTCATGCATGCATTAAAGCATGATAAAACTGTTTCTTTATAGGTATTTCAGAACATTACTGCAGTATTCATAGTTGATTCTGTTCAGTGCCAGCTTTAAATTTTTTTACTATAAAATTGCTTCTAAGGTCTGTAGTTTGAATTCAAACTACAGAAGAATAATGTACAAATTATACTACGTCAAAAATGATCATACTGACAGAAAGATAAGCCTTATAGGGTGTAGCAAGGTTTTCAAAATATAAGAAAAAGCAAGTGTCAAATTTCAAAGTCTAGCAAAATTGTAGAGTCAAAAGTATGATATGTTTACAATTAACCGTTAATTCAAATTTTTGATTTAATAAATCATCCCTATAATAATAATAATCTGCTGATAATCTGCATTTTCTCCTGTAAACACAGAAAACAAGGTTCATATGAGGATCTACATGTCCTTGCCAGTTTTAAAATTTTCCATTTAACTTTAGGAGTTTTATTTTCATCTTTCAACTTCCAAAAATATTTTGAAAGTGAAGGGTTATTCCTATAAGTATTATTAGTAAAAGACGATATGTGTTGATACCAGTTGGTTTTGAAAGAATTCTCTGTACTACCAATATAGAACTTTTCAACCCTTGGATTTTTTTATTGTAGAGATAGAACAAAGATACACAAGGGATTTGGTTAAAAATTTGTTAGAAAATGGGCATTGGTTAGGATTCCTGCAATTACATTGGTCACTATCCTTAACAATATTTTCATTGTTACTTGCATTATGATTAAGATTATTAAATTGATTTAGAGTTCTATTGTTGATATTCTTAAGAACTTTATTGTACACACTGCTATGTTTCTCAAACACCTCTTTGTCTGATGAGTGGTTGCTGATCCTATGTTCTACAGAGGAAGGAATATGTCAGATTACAGATGGTGGGATGATTGGAATTGGGTGACTATAGATTGGGTTGGCCTTATTTTTCATATAAGGCTGAAAATTGTCATTTACTAGATCTAATATTACATGGAGAAAATCACCTTGTTTAATATTGGCGCTTATTTTAACCTTAAGATCTAAACTTTTAAATTTCCTATGAATTATTTTTCTTAGTTTATCGACTTAAATTTTCATGGAGTTATTTATAACTTATATAGAGACGATGATCTTATGGTTGCAAATAACTTCATTAAATTAAATTCCAATCACCATCCCCAAAGGCTACCATTATGGATGGTATAGCAAACATGAACATTGAAGTTTATGTGATTTACATAATAATTTCTGTTGGACTGTATATATATATATATATATATATATATATATATATATATATATATATACTATGCATTATATATTATTTCAAAAGAAACTAAGAGTATATAAACTTGTTAAAATCTTACCTTGCCAAACATTGTTTTGAAAGTTTTAATTATTTCTTGGCGTTGAGTGTTTGATCTGTAGGCCAGAATATTGATAATAGCATCTTCATCCGTTCCTAGTAATAACAAGAAAAATACTACATAATTTTCTGTTTCTGTGATGAGGAGTTATTATTTACACTATTTACATTTTACATTCAGACTATGTTTCCATCTTTGTTGTTATTACAACATTTTTACCATTGTGTCCTCCAACTTTCATCAGGTATATATTGAACTGGGTAACCTACAGGGAATTCCAAACTGAAGTCTTTATTTAATTTACAGGGGTAGACTGTTCTCATTCCACTGCTCATGCCTAGGGATATCTCGTCTAGTTCTTAGAGTGAGAACTAAAGTACCGCTCATTTATTGCTCACTCTGTTTCCACTGAGTCCAAGTACACACTGTCTGACATTGAGAGTGAACACACAATTACTATGTCACCAAATTTAATTCACTAGGCTATTGTACAATAGGCTATTGTCTATAACCTACAAGCCTAGTGGATTAAAGCATTGGTTTGTGAATTTGATAACATAGTAACTGTGAATCTAATTCCTGGATTGAACTCAGTGGACATGGGTGAGCAATAACTGAACAGTAAAATCTAGATGATATTCCTAGACAGTGGAATGAGAACATCTATACCCTGTAGATTAAGTAAAGGGTTCAATTTGGAATTCCCTGTAGGTTACCCAGATCGATATACACCTGATGAAGGGCCAGAGGGTACAATAGCCAAGACATTGAGATTCAACAACAATTCCTACTCTACATGACAGACTTCTGACTTAGCTCTAACAGCTCAGTGGAGGAAAAACTGGTTGGTTGCATTCAATCTCTCAAAAATCAAACTAGTGATATTCCACCATCAGTGATTGAATCCAGTTGTGAGGAATGGAGGTTTCTTCACCTATTGGGATTTAAGCTTAACCTACACTTCAATTGGAACTCATATATACAATACATCACTAAAGATGCTGGAAAAATGGTAGGTTTCATGTACTGCTCTATTAAGTACAGGACACCTCCTGCTATCCTCTACCTTTACAGCATCAGGCCTAAAATGGAGTACTGTTGTCATACATGGACAGGAACTGCCCAGTCTTCACTTTTCACTCTCAATAGAATTCAAAAGTGTGACAAATTATTTTCCACTAGTCACAGAAGAGAAATTGCAATCCTCTCACTGCTCTATCACTATTTCCATGCAAAGTGTTCAGATTAACTACACTCCTTAGTTCTGTGAATTCTAACCTTTCACAGCTAAGACCTGCCATGCCATGTACATTGTAGTGAACCACCCTTATTCCCTTGATATTCCACTGTGAGTTGTAAGTTCCACTCAAGCAGATTGTGATCTTGAAAATGAGTGAAATGCTGAAAATTTTCTTTCACTTGTACAGGCTTTTTGCATTAATTTCTATGTGAATTCTAAGCAAAAGTAAGTATTCAAAAATCATTATCAAGAAAAGTTAAATTTAAAATTGAAATCAGCACCATACAATTGAGTGATTTGTTTTTCATGGTTTATCAACACTTTGTGGCTTATTTAAAGTCAAAAGATACATTGAATTGTAAGAATATTATTTTTTGTGAGTGAATATTGCCTTAAGAATTTTTTGAGAATAACAATGTTTCTACATAAAATCCTACTATTTAACCCATAGCTGGGGGGAAGATGGCTTCATACCTTTCTCAAGGGTATTTGTGCATTAGTGGCTATATTCCTGATTGGAATTTGAACTTGGCTCTTCAGTTTCTCATTTAGACCTGCCATCCATTACACTACCCACACCATACAAAAGCAACATGTATTTTTTAGTCAAGATATATTAAACACAATATCATTTTACAACATTTTTTCAAAATTTGATATTTACTCACCTAATCCTTTCATAGCAGAATGTAACATTTTACAATCAGATTCTGCATTAAAGTTAGGGTAAGGCTTCACAGTACCTTCTTGCTAGAATCACAAGAAAAATATGATTAAAAGCATTAATAAATTTTATAATAGACACAAATTTTAGAAGATTTTTTGAAAGAATGTCAAAAAGTAAATGACTGGTTCATAGAAAAAAATTTATTGCAAAATAAAAAGTCTTCAAGAACTAACACCCTTTCATGCACATTTTTAAAGGTTTATCTTCATATGCAGGGTAAAAAGATCTGGATACAAATTTGTCATATACATTAATTTGTATAAAATACTGCAGGAGGCAGATGAAAATCTTTTAGAGTTGACAATCCTAGAATATCCTCATATATTGATAAAACATTTACTCAGATAATAAGATATAAATGTTTTGAAATTAATAATATCAGAATTATTAAATGAGGAATTATTATTAATACTGTTATATGCAATACTATTTAGATCAGCATCCTCATCTTGGTTGTTATACTCATAACTTTTCAACCATTGTACTCTCTGACTTTCTTCAGGTGTCAGTTGTTGTACTCAGTAACCTTCTTGGAAGTTTTAATGCTTGTCGGAAAAAAAAAAACTTTCGACACAGTAAAGTAGGGAAAACCCAGAAGAGAGCAGCGACAGCCTGGTAAGGGTTGCAAAAGGAATCCTCCTCTTGCGACCTGCTCCAACTAGGTCGAGTAACAGAGAAGAAAAAAGAAATAATCCTTCAGCACGACAAATAACCAGTCACGTGTCGGCTGATAGAGAAAAATAGGTCAATCAGAATACAGAGGAGGGTTTTTATAAGGAGGCTAACTGCTTCCCACAATCCTCCTCCGACCAAGACCATAAATATCAGTTGGTCATTTGGTTCCAGTTTAGCTGGACACAATTCCCCAAGGCTGAAGCAACCCGTCCGTAAATAACCCCTTCTCTCTTCCTCTTTCCTTTTCTTCACACATTCCCCGACAGAAAAAACACAAAAAAGACGTGTAGAAAAGAAAGAGAAGAGAAAAACAAAAAACAAAAACAAAAAACGGGCAACAATGTCTCTCCCCAGACAGGCGAGTTCTTATTTCTAAATGGCTAACTGATTGCCAATTAGGCGGGAAGCAGACTTGGTCTACCCCTGCGTCGTCTTTGGGGCGCACCTCAGGGCAGTACCACTTCTGCCTTTTTAGGCGGCTCCTCGTCAATGCCAACACATCGAAAATGGAACCATTCATCACAAGAATCACACCCGATCATGTCCAGATTTCCCTGAGGAGAGTTGCACACAGGACACAACCAGACATGCTCCTCATCGTTGGCAGCAGAACATGATGGAACCTCGTCCCTCTCTGCAATCAAAGCACTCCCAGGGGGTGACACAGGACCACTATTTGGTAACTCAGAAGAACGGTTAGCTGTCAGGGAAAGTTCCAGTGGGTAGAGGTGTTTCAAAGAGTGTACCTCTTCGAGATCACCCCCCCCCCTTTCGGACACGAGCAGACCTGACCACACCATCATCATCGGGTATGAGATCTGTAATTGTCCCCAAGACCCAAAATGGTCGCGGTTTCAGAGGACTCTTAATCAGGACCACATCATCTTTCTGAAGCCGGTTCTCTGTCCGCAACCGTGTGCGTCCCGGGACCCTTCTTCCCAGCTCCAGAAGGTATTCCTTGTACCAGGACTCATGGAACCTTAATAAATACTGGTTCCTGATGTCCATTGCTTCCACGAGCCTTTTTCTACTGGCTGGTACTGCAGAAGCGATGTCATTTTTGTTCAATCGCAACAACAGCCCCGGACTCTTGTTGGGCCTAAGTAACATGTTGGGTGTGATAGCAGCAGCATTGTTATCAGCAGACAACTGATAGGTCAGAGGTCGGTTGTTGACCGATCTCTGGATATCAGAGACCACTGTCAGGAGGGTAAAATAATCCAGTTTACCTCTGCCAAGAATCTTAAAAAGGCAATCCTTCACCGTTTTAATGCAACCAAGGTGAAAACAGAGGGATGGTTTTTAGTTTTAACCCGCAAGAACCATACTTGCTTTTATACTCCTGGAAGACAGAGAGGCGACTAAAAAGTCTTCCGCTTCCCAGAAAGGTCTTAGCATTGTCACTGTAGATTACTTCCGGAACTCCACTTTGGTTGGTGAAGGAACCAGGGCTTGAAAGAAGGATAGCACACTCATGTCTGGAACCAACTCAATATGTATTGCTCTGATATTCAAGCACGTGAACAAGAGCAAGTACATCTTCTTGTCCTGCTTACCATCATTCACCCAGAAATGGCCGGTGAAATCAACGCCTGTATTCTGGTAAGGGACCTCAAATTCGACTCGATGAGTTGGTAAGCTGGCTGCAGCACTCGGCAGTACTGGTCGCGAATTGTATCGTTTGCATCTGGCACATGACTTTAGAACCTTGTTGACGGCCTGTCTTCCTTGAGGGACCCAGTAGCCGCTCCGCCTCAACTCAGCCAAAGTAGATCCAGTTCCAAGGTGACAACACTTTATATGACAATCCAAAATAATAAGTCTGGTCACAGGGTGGTGTTTCCCTATCAGGATAGGGTTCTTGATTTCATAGGTAAAATATGAAGATCGGTCGATTCTTCCTCTTGATCTGATTAACCCATCCGAGTCCAAAAAAAATCCATCCAGGGCACGAACTCTGACGGGTTCAGATCTTCCTGCTGGCTTCATTAAATACTCAACCTCTGAAGGGAATTCATGTCGTTGGAGAACTCTCATCAGGTAAATGGCTGCCTTAGATCTGTAATCCCACTCCCGTCCTAGCCGAATGGCTATGAACTTGAACACCAGTGAGGTAACTCTCAGTAACCCAGAAAATGTTGAGAACCTGTGAAAGGGTATGACGGAGAGGTATTCTTGGTCCAGAACCATAGAACAGTGCACTGAAGTACGGGCCATCTGCTGGCATGTCTCGCTTAAACAAGGCAAGTCTTGTGTCGGCCACTGGATGATTCCCTCACACAACCAAGAAGGACCAGAACACCAAAATTGGAAGTTGGAACGAAACTTCCTCAACGTCATTCCCCTCGTGATCAGATCGGCCGGATTATGTGCAGAATCCACATATTTGAAGAGAGTCTTCAGGCCGTAACGGGATTCTAACCCAAGGTTCATTTGCAGGACGTCCTTGAGTCGGTTTCTAGCAAAAAATGTTTTGATGGCCATGGATTGAGACAAGAGCCAAGACAACACTACTTGGGCATCAGTAGCCACATAAGTTACTTGGAACAAACCCTTCACAGTTGTCCAGGATTGTTGGTAGGCACTTGAAAGCGAGATAAACAGCCATTAACTCCAAAACAGGTAGAGTTTTGTCTTTCATCGGAGCGACCTTAGCCTTAGCAAACACCAGGACGATCGATAATTTTGCACAATGTAAGCGGCAAATCCATATGCCTCCGTGGAAGCGTCGCAAAAGAGGTACATATCTCCAGGCTGTCTCGCATCGAGAACCTTTCGATAAAAATGGAAGTCACTCAGTCCAGACAGGTCCCCAGCAAGCTCCCTCCAATCACTTAAAACCGCAGTAGGGAGAGGATCATCCCAACCCAAACCATTCTTCCACATAGACCTAATAAGTATTCGGCTGCGAACCGTAACTGGGAGACAAAGAGATAAGGGGTCAAAAATTTTGGCTGACTCAGAAAGCACTCCCCTCTTTGTTGACGCATCGGGATCGCACCTGACGTGGCCCACGTGCATCTCTTCTGAAAGAGGGTTGTATCAGTAACCCAGTACCTTCTCCCATTCTTCATCATGTGCACTCAGTGTACCATCTTCTTTCATCCTGGCTCAGAGAGCCTCATCGTTGGAGTTGCAGGACTGAATAACAAAGCCGCCTTCCTGCAAACGTTCCCGTGCCAGGGAGTACAATTTCGCCAGCTTCACTGGATCTGCTTCCGATGTTACAAGGTTGTCCACATAAAATCTGTCCTCAATCATCCTGCGGCAAGCGTCCAGTGGGTATCTTGCTGCATGTAGTTTCAGGATACACCCCAGTACAAAGGGGCTTGAGGTGAACCCGAATATCAAGGTGGTATATCGAAAACAGCGAAGACGATCCCCATCCTTAAGGAAGAAACAGAACCGGTTTTTGTCAGTCTCCAACTTGAGATGAATCATCAAGAATGCCTTTCGAATGTCTGCTAGCAGAACGTAATTGTTAGTTCTGAAAGACAATAATAACTTCAACATATCTCCAGTTAGATTGACCCCAGAGTAAGCTGCCTCGTTCAGGGACAATCCACCACCAGTCTTCAGACTGCAATTGAACACAGGTCTGATTTTGGTAGTAGCTGTTGGGTCAGACCTGAAAACCGGTCGATGTGGAATCCACACATATTTATCAAATTCGTGTTGGGGAACAAAAATCTCTTCAATTATTCCATCCTGTTCTTGCTGACGGAACACCTCTAAGTATTCCAGATAAATATTCTTTTTAGTCAGGTTTGAAGCCACCCGGTACAAGATGCGCAAAGAAACGGCGTGATTGGATGGGACCCGGGCCAACTTATCAGAATGCCAGGGAAGCTCCACGTAATACTTCCCATCCTTGAGCTCCACAGTATCCTTAAAACGTCTCATCTGTTCTTGATCATAATCAGAGAAGGTATCCTCATCAGATATTCCCAGGGACTCCATGTCAAACATCCGTTCCAATCCTCTTTGTACTGCACTGTCAGGAAAAAACTCCGCCAAAGGGTCAAGGTAGGTTGGTTGGTTTTCAAGAACGAAGCACAAATGTGAGGAATTCACTTCAGGGGTATCCCCATTACAGTATTAAAAAGGAGGTGGGCCACTTCACAAGGGATCTTGTCTCTCCTGAAAAGGAGTCCACAGCTCAAAGGGAACCAGGCCTGACGGAACAGAAAATGCCCAACCCCTCAGACAGGGGACCAACTTCAATGTAATCAATCGATGAATAAGGTCCAATCCAATAATGCCCTTGATAAGCACAAGGTCTGACCCGGCCTCAAATTGGCCAGCCAAATTATAGTCAGCTGCCCTAAAGGCACCCAACAGGGTCTCCAAGTGAGCCAGTCGTACAGACAAGTCCATTGCATCAGTGACCAAAACAGAGGAAGCCAAAGCCTCACCAGAACCAAAGTCAACTCCCAGAACCACCTCCGTGAAATTCCGGTCACACTCACCAAGGAGGGTGAAAAGTCTAAGCCGACAACTGACTCCAACAGTCTCAACTGAACCCAAGTCCCTCAGTACATCAGCAGACAAGTACGAACGCCCACTACCAGTGTCCAAAAGGCAATTAACTGACACCATTTTTTTCTCCATTGAAAAAAAGTGACCAATAGGATGGGGGCAAGCTACGGAATAACCAGCAGAAGTCAGGTTGTTGGAATCCACATGAAAGGAAGAAAGTAACAGTGGCCCTCCGTGCGGTTTTTGAGAAGAACCCTGGCCAGTGGTGAATGTAGAAGCAGCAGACGCGCTTCCCTTAACCCCGTAATCGTTTGACTGCCTCACTTGTAAGTTCCAATATGGCAGACAATGATGGTATTCGTTTACCTGTTAGTCCTATCATTTCCCCCTTCAATTCTTTGGGAAATTTCTGAAAAAGAATCTTGGCCATTAGGCGAGCTCCACCAGAATCGTCCACCGAAAAGTCGCAAGAAAAAGAATTCTCTAGCTCCTCCAAGAGAGAGGCAGTCCTGGAGATAAATTCACCCAGATCAGAGCAGCAGATGTCCTTTTTAGGGACATAGTCTACAATGTCTTGAAATATCTGGTCGATTATCTCATCAATGTCCAAATACTCCCTCTTTAACACCGAAAGAGCACGCTGATAGTTGGCATCCGTGCAACTCAAATGGTTAATCAGTCTTAAAGCTCTGTCGGAGAGGGAGCATTTCAGAAAGTTTAATCTTTCAGAGTCATTGGCCATGCCAACCACACAGTTTTCGAATCTCGTCAAAAAATTCCGGAAACTCATGTGGTCGTCAGCCATCTCAAGTCCGCTAAAGGTGGGCCCCGTTATTTGTATTTGCGGAGGTTTGACAACAAAGGAAGTCGAACTTCTTCCAGGTGTTGACGGAACCCCAAAAGACTGGGAAACAGGATCCAAGCAGGAACTGGGAGAAAATGAACCATCCAGATCGCCCAGTTCTCGGTGGTACTCCATTAGTCGAGGCGCCCATTCAGCTTCGGTCTCAAGCAAGTTCATCTCGGGGAAGGAGCCCAGCTCTAATTTTGTGATACAAGTCTCCATTTCGAAGATGTATTGCAGAATATCCTTTCGGAAGACAGAGAAAACATGAGGCGTTACTCTGTCTCCACGACACAACTTCAGTCGTTCCTCGACTTTGATTTTAAGAACAGTCAAACTATGAAGGATCTGTTCTTTAGTAACATCCATTTTTTTCTTTTTAAAGAAATGCCGTTAACAAAAAAAAAAAAAACAAATTTCTGTAGAAGATCCTTTTGCAATTTGTCGGAAAAAAAAAACTTTCGACACAGTAAAGTAGGAAAACCAGAAGAGAGCAGCGACAGCCTGGTAAGGGTTGCAAAAGGAATCCTCCTCTTGCGACCTGCTCCAACTAGGTCGAGTAACAGAGAAGAAAAAAAAATAATCCTTCAGCACGACAAATAACCAGTCACGTGTCGGCTGATAGAGAAAATAGGTCAATCAGAATACAGAGGAGGGTTTTTAAGGAGGCTAACTGCTTCCACAATCCTCCTCCGACCAAGACCATAAATATCAGTTGGTCATTTGGTTCCAGTTTAGCTGGACACAATTCCCCCGAGGCTGAAGCAACCCGTCCGTAAGTAACCCCTTCTCGCTTCCTCTTTCCTTTTCTTCACATGCTTTAATCCACTAGGCCCGACATCTCTGGTAATTTTATAGTCCGAAAGCTAATATCTGTATTCAGATGGTAGAGTCATAAAGTGTACATTTGAAAAGATAAAGAAAATCTGCAATTAATACATCAGGATAGTATTCAAAAGCAGTTCAACTCTTCTTCCAAACCAAGCCCCATTCAGAAGAAAACATGACAAAAAATGTGTATTCAGTTCCATGCAATTGTAGCAATCATATTCTAAGTAACATAAATCAACCTGACAAAGTCTGATGGTATCATGACATATTGTTGAAGTACTCTGCATTAAGATTTGAAACCATGTTTGATTTGTTATCTGCTATTATCTGTTGTTTGATCTGCCTTCTAAAAGTAAAGGTGAAGAAACATTGAAAAGCTGTAGTCTAGAAAGAGAAACATTGAAATCAAGCATGGCTGATCATATACAGAGGGAAACAAGTGTTCCTAAAACCTCAGGGAATGGAAGTTAAGATGATATAAAACAACACACTATAATAATACCAAAGAATAATAAATAAAATTATTTTTATCAGAAAATGTCATAACTAATTCAGTTAACATTAATGCTTACTTTAGAAAATGTACGAATAAACAAATTCAGAAATTGTATAGTTAAGATGAAATAGATATTTGTATTTATTTTATCTTGTCTATTTATGGAACTAAATATTGAAACAGATCTATAATTTAAGTAAAAAAATATGTAACTCACAGAAATGTCTTCAGTCTCCATTTCAAAGTAAGGATCAGATTTCTGGATTTTCTTCTTTGTTTGTATTTTAGATATGTCTGCTTTCCTGGGTACATCATATTTCTTCTCTTTTTTTAAATTCATTTTTATTTCAGGGACTCCAAAAATGAAAATAACCAGTAGAATTATATTGATATTTCTTGATAAATATAATTTGGATTAAAAAGTATTTTCATTGAGCTGTATTTTTATATCAAGTTGTTTCCTAAATGTCTTCAATATATATCATAGTTATCACATTACTTCACAGGACAAAGTGATAGTGAAAAAATCTTGCTGAAAAATACACTAATGGAAAATAAAACATCATGAATGTGCCTTGCTTTTGTTTTATAGATACACATGACCACTGCTTGTAAGAAGATAGAACCTGTTGACATCACTCATACTAAAGAGCACCATTTGATTCCCCAGGGGTAGTTCCTATGTCACAAGTGATAGTGTTGTGATATAAGTAGAAGTCTGGCTTAGATACATGTATGCCCATAATTTTGCTGGAATAAATGATACCCAGTGGTCAGTGTTGACGCCTGTACAATCAAATTTGCCATGATCTGTGCTATTTACATCATGAAGTCTGTGGCACTTATATAATGTGTTAATCTTAACAAGTCTCTGTACAACCTAGCTATACATAGCCTGGGGCCAACATTGAAGCACTACCAATGTATTATATCTAACATGTGCATCAATTTTCTGAAGTGATCAACTAGCCTCTTAAAAGACTCCTCTAAAATGGCTCTAACTGAACAAAACAAACATGTGCATACACCCATGGCATGACACCTGCTTGCACCACACAGCATTGTTTAAAGCCTACATACTACTGATATGATTTTTAATGCATTGCATGATGGCCAAAATGTGAAAGTTTTATTAGAACTACTCTCTTGTATGTACCCAGGTTAAAATCAGCATCATCCTGAAATTTCATCTTGCATTTGTGTATATACATTTTAGTAAGTTAGCTTTCTGTGGAAATGCAACAATAAAATCCTATGAAATTTCAAAAATGTGAAATATTTGAATCAATTTACTGAATTCTCATTTTTTTATAACATCTCTGAAAATAAAGCATGTAAATGAGGAGAAAAATATTCATCTATGGATCAATTTGTAATTTAATTCATGATATAACAGGTAGGATTTATAAAATTTATTAAAACCTTTATTCATTTTAATGTGACACAAACAATTCTGGCAGAATGAGCAAAATATAAAACAATGATTCTATTTTAGTTATTATTGCATTTGAACTCAGTGTATAGAGACAGATATTCAGTTTTTATTCTTGATGCCAACTAACTTTACCACAAATACACATGCTTGTTTCAGTAATTTTTTTCAGTTTGTTTTTTTGAATTTCTGTATGCTATCAAGAGAAGACAAAAAAATTGTCAGAGAGTAAAACTGAAAGGAACATCTGGTCCAGCTTAGAAAACAGCAATGACAATTTTGAAGAAATAACTTTGAATTGCTCAATTCACACCATGGAACTTCAAAACCTCACTCTGATTTGGGCTATAATTCCAATTCTGACCAAAAGACTGATTTGTACCAAATGTCTGATTTGGGCCTAAATTCCATTTCAGGTTGAAAATTGAGTTCTTCAAATCAAAAACTCCATGGAACTTTAAAACCTCATGTCACAAAACCTCTCACTTTAACTATGATTCCTTGACATTTTGAAGAAATAAAATTGATTTCCTTAATTCACAAAGTTTTGAAGATATTTTAAAAAGAATTTAAAACAAAAAGTTTTTTTCTGTTACTTTAAACTCAGTATAAATTAAAAACTTTTAAAATCACTAATTTTTTCAGTTATTTTAAAATTTGAATTTTTAGTCATTACCTCCTCACTGGACACAAATCCTGAATGTCCAAGTAACAGATGAAAGGCAGATTTTCAATCCCAGGATCACCCAGATTCCAAAAAGGTATAATATGTCTATGTAAGCATGTGTGGCCTGAGTTAGAGGAGTTTCAGACACACGGACAGACAGAATTTACCATTTAGTTATTTAGAAGATGATAGAAAATAATACAAGCCAACACAATACATTTTGTTTACTTAGTGATAGAAATTTAAATTAGAATATTGTCACATTCTCCACAAAGTTATTCTGATAATGTTAAGTGTTTAAGAGTATGTGTTTATTTCAAAAACCAGTTTCCTGTAGGTTATGAAGTTTAAAGCTTTGTCATATTTTAAGTTTTATGATATTCTTACTTGTATTTCCAGGTTTTGTCATAAATAATGTAATTTTGTATCCATCTCCTTCATCTGAAAAGTCTGCAGTTAACATCTAAAACAAAGTAAAATTTATTAGTGAAACAAAATGTTGCATATGTTTAATAAATAAATAGTAAATATGTCATAAGTTTTTCAACTGGAAATTTACAAGAAATATAAAGCATATAGAGACTAGTGAGGTTAACTGGCTTGTTCATAAAAAATAAGGAAAATTGGTAAAAAGGATATCAGTTATCAATGGTGTGGGCACAGTTTCAAACTTGACATTTCTAAAGATTCTATGTTTGACTCTTCTGCCAAAGTTTAGTAGGAGACAATGTTCGGGGAACAGTGAATAAATTGTGGAATTACTCATGAGTATATCAACATTTGACTTTGTCCTGCCCGAGTTTGCTTTTCATCTGAACTGTTAAGTTTTTCACTTTTTTATTTCTTAAACTTGACTTTTTTTCCTTTTTATTTTTGCATTCTTGTTTTTTATTTGTTTTCTTTTTCTTTACTTGTTTTCATTTGTTTTCTTTTTCTTGTTTTCATTTTTCTTTTTCTTTCTTTACGTTTGTTCTGTTGTTCTCATGTTTATTTCAGATTTATTTTTCATTTTGTATTATTTTCATTGGTTTGTTGTTTGTACTTATTAACTCGTGCATTCCACGTTCTCGTTTTTAATTTTGGTTTGACTTTATTTTTATCTTCATTTTTATTTTCTTTGGTTTTTAAGAACAATAATCAATACTTTTATTTAATCAGCTGTGGTGGCTTTGTTCCACCATGGCTGAAAATTTAAACTTGGTACCTACACAAAGTAAATCATCACCCCCAAAAACTGCCTGGTCGGAGAACAGACCAAAAAAGGACTCGGTGTATTATGATGAAGAATGAGTCAAGTATGAAAAGTACGTCCAGGGAAACAAATTTCTTATGATTCCAGAAGCCCAGGATGCAGTTAACACAAGGATAATTTCCCTGTTGACAACTGATGTAAAAAGTCGGAAATTGATTGGGGTCAGCAGGTTTCAGATTAAAAGATGTCTATTAAGATAGCCAGCCTGAATGCGAATGGCTTGAGGGATTCCGGTAAGGCTGCCCACCTGCTCTGTGACCTCTTGTTGTTTGGAGTGGATGTCGTGCGATCCAAGAGACCTACTTTGTTTGCAGCGTCGATGCGTGTGTGCTGTCTAACGACTTTGTCGTCTATTCAGCTAATGGGGACTGACATGCCAGAGGAGTTTTTTTACTAGTTAGGCATACCCTGGATGTGAAGGTGGACCTCGTTCATGCTGAAGGCTGGTTGATCGTGGCCGATATTGACGTGAAAAGTGGTTCATTTCAGGTCGTTGCGGTTTATACGCCCAACGACCAGGAGGATCGGGTGTTGTTTTTTTGGCAGTTGGGGCTGTTCCTGGTGGACTCAACATGCCTCGTCTTAATGGAGGACTGGAATGCCGTCCTGAACACCAAGTTAGATAGGAGGCGGGGATCTAGCGAGAGGTGGGGTGATCGGAGCTTGGTTGATATGATCGACAAGTTTGGTCACGTTGATAGATACCGGGTCGATCACCCTGGTGGGGGATATGGACGTGGGCTCTTAATTGGACTTCTACCCAGATGGTTAGCTACCTGGATAGAATGTTAGTCAGAGGAGCCAATGTAGATTTGTTAGATTGTCCCATGTTGCACTGGGTAGGCTATTTGGACCACAAACTCGTTTGTGCCCGGATTGCATTAGATTGTAGGCCTAGAATGGCTGGCTACTGGAAGTTCATTCTGTCTTTAATGGGCAGGCAGGACTTCCAGGTACAGCAAAATAGCTTAGTGCAGTGGGAACAAGAACTAGTGGGGGTGGTTATTGGGAATAGGTGGTGGGAGAGGCTTAAGAATAGGATTAGGTCCTTCACCACCAAGTTTAGCAAACGGCTTGCACTAGATAGAGCTAACAAGATTAAGGCTCTTAAGGATAGTTTTTCCCTGGCAGTGGCTGGGGATGCACTAGAGATAGCCTTATCTAGGAAGGTCACGAAGTGTTTGACTAGCGAGTGCTACATGGGCCAGGTAATTAGACATAGGTTAAGCAAGGTGTCTTCCGAAGCTGTGAATATGGGTGCAGAATTGCACAACGAAGAGATCCGTAGAGATTTTGGTTGCTACATTCGTGAAGAGGCAGACTCTTCAGGTCACTGACGATATGTCTGAGACGTTTTGGCGGCATTTCAAGGGCTGGTTTACCAAGGAGCCTGGTCTCCGTGACGCGGAGTTTTGTAGCTATTTGGCTGACTTTTCTCAGCTTTTGCCGACTGAAGCGGCTAGCTGCGAGGGAAAGATCATGGAGGGCGAAGTCTACGCGGCATTGAAGAAGGTCAGCAGAGGGAAGTTGCTTGGTCTGGATGGTTTGCCCTATGTATTGTACTTGAGGCTGTCGCACGTCTTTGTCCCGATTTTGATGACTTAGATGATTTAGATCAGAGTTAGATTTTGGCCAGGATTCTGCAGCAGCGTTTGCAGTCAGTTACTGAGTCTCTGTTGGGTCCAGAGCAGACTTGTTCTGTGAATGGCCGAACAATTCAGAGCAGCCTGCATCTGATCTGCACAATCATACGACAATGAGGCTGCGTTGATCAGTTTGGATCATTCCAAGGCATTTGATAGGATTGACCATCGCTACCTGGCTGCTGTCCTGCAGGCCGCTGGATTCGAACCCAACTTTTGCCGCTGGATTAGCCTGCTGTATTGCTCCCCCAGTGCTGTGGTACAGGTGAACGAAAAGCTGTTGGGCGCTTTTGTGCTGTCTCAGTCGGTTCGTCAGGATTGTTCACTGACGCCTCTCCTTTACGCTTTGGTGTTGGAGCCTCTGTTTCGCCGGCTAAGAAACAGGGCGAGGAATCGCTGTCCCTGGAGGGACTCGAGCCAAGGTTTCCACGTATACCGATGACGTATCTACTTTCGTGTCGCAACGACATTGAAGGCGTTTGATTGATATGAAAAGGTGACGGGGGCCAAGATTAACCGCAATAATTCGTCTGGCTTGCGGTTAGGTGCCTGGAAGGGGGTCGAACTTTCGGGGCCCTTTGGTTGGACGGACAGTCCTATCTGCATTCTTGGAGTGTGGTTTGGACCTGACCTTCAGCTGGAGAAAAATTGCTCAGAAGCACAGGCAAAGGTCTACGCAGCCAGTCAGATTTGGCGTCGACGGAGGTTGTCCGTGAAGGGCATGGTGGAGGCGTGTGGACTTACGTCTTCCCGATTGTCCTTTACCGCTTGTCTGTAAGTGACATAAGTAAGCACTCGAGTGCTTGCTATCCTCCGTTTTGTAGCGGGGTGGGGACGCAAGCATAAAATCGACGGAGGAGTCTGTACACAACATGGGGGGGGGGCTGGAAAGGCCACACTTGGAGAGTTACAAACTCGCCTTGAGACTGGCTTTCTTACGCTAATCAATGACAGGGGGTTCCATTATGGCGGGGATTGTAAGGGGCACCTTCATTCCCTTACTATCAGTTCCCTCATGCCGCGGGTTGAGCACCATCGTAAATCCCGGGATCAATCGCTTTTCCTTCGCAGGTGTCGATCGGCCTTGTGGGCCATTCCTCGGTCCAGTGTCCTTTCCCGGCCTAGGAGCGTCTTCTTTCAAGGGCTAGTGGAGGGGGCCGCGAAGGATCCACTACGTGAGCAGCTCGACTTGTTGGAGGAGGAGTTCCGCTTGTTCTGGTTTTGGGCGCCAGCGGTAGAAAACCTCGGAAACCCTGAATTTTCGCTTGTCTGACAACTGATTCGGAATAGGCTATCTCTTAATAACATGACCTTCATATGGGGCTTGGCGGATTTGCCAGACTGTGAACGATGTGACCTTGGCGTAGAATAAATGGCTTCTACCATTGTTCTTGGGTCCGCCCCCTATGGGACCATGTTGGCGAGTTGACGACTCGTCTCGCTCCCGAAAAGCTCGTGTTCATTGATCGCGCATATACGTGTGACAATGTGTCGCCTCCGTATACTGGGGTGAAACGAATGGTGTTTCTATCACTGCTGGCCACAGTCCGAATGGTGATTTGGACGATGCGACAGGAGGAAGTCTTGCGTGGCAACCGTCTTTCTCATCAGGATCTGATCCGATTCTTTGATCATCAGCTCAAGATGAAGATTAGAACTGATAGAAAACGGTTGGTTTCGATAGACTTTAGCGAAAGGTGGATGACAGAGGCGAGCTTGGTTCGTGTGAACGAGGCTAGCCTTGATTTCTCTTTTAGGTCTACCTAATTCGCATCGGAGTGGTTTCCTGTGGAACCCTCCCCTGGTTAAGCTATACAAGCTTAGTATACCTAGTTAATGTGAGTGTTGTTCCTGGCCTGCTCCAGGCTGCATCTTTGGTTATGATCCAAGTTGAGATTCCCAACCTCCCCAGTTAGTTTTTGGTTCCCCTTTTCATCTCGACTGGGTCAGCTTTCTTTTTTTCCCCTGTACGTAATTATTTTCTCCTTTCCTTCTTTTCCCATAGCGTGAAGGCAATACAGCGGTCTCTCTTTTGAGGGTTGGATGGGATCTACTAACATCTTTATTTATCTTTTTTTTATTTTGTTATCTTTATTTTGTTCGTTTTGATATTTTAGTTTAGTTTTTTTCTGGTTCATCCTCTCCCCTCACATTGAAAATCATCAAATTTTTATGTATAAGTATTTATAATCATTAAATTTTTATGTCACGGGGTGCGTTTTAGAGGATGCGGCATTATGGTGTATTATGGCATTATGGTGAAGAAAAAATTGGTGCAAATGTTTTTTGAAAAGCGTAGCTCGGTGGTCGTCAAGATCGATATGAGGTTCGCTCGGAGTGGGTGACTGGAGGGCGCTGATGATCTTTGCCAGGGCGTCGTCCTTCTGTTGTTCATTTGCGATGCCGAGGTGGTTGCAGATTCTCTCAGTGGGGATGGTGGTGGTAGAGTGATAGACGAAGAATGCGTTGGTGACGCGCTTGTGGGTGCGGGCGTTTTGTGGTGTATGAGTATTGGGAATGAGCTGTAAATCGTTAAACTCGCCGAGGCACCAAGATGGGATGTATACG